ATGGGTTGGAAACGGTTGGATGGGTTGGACCCAGGATTGATGTGGTGGTTTAAAAAAGGCTATCCAGTCTATCCAGCTATGGAGCAGGTGACTGTCTGACCGTCTGACCCAGACCCAGTTCCGAAATCTTCCGAAGATGCGCCGTGTCTCGTGACTTGCAATGATAATGTAGTGGCAGCAACTCCTAGACTAGAGTCCTAGAGAACTCAGCCAGCAGTGTGTTGAGTTTACAACGCTTGGCCTTTCAGAAAGTGACGAAACATCTCGTGTAGGACATGGGTCAGTTGGAAGATCGATTCTGTTCGATAATTTGGATCTGTCTGAAAATAAGGTATACATATCCTAAATGGCTATTTTAATATATAGGTAACCAGAGGATTTGCTGGTACCATGTTTTCAAGCAAACCCATTTAGCTTTGCAATGAACAATCACCAATTGTTGGAGGAAGTTCATCTACCAAAGGTCTGAGTTTCCACTTCTAGGTCGCATTTGCAGAGAGTCATATATTGTTGTTAGGTTTGATTCATTCTGCTTCCTGATCACTTCATTGCATCGTTTTAAGTGGTTTAGCTGCAAGGTTTCAAATTGGGGTACGGTCCCTTGTATCCCTGATACCACTATGATTGGTCTCTACCAGTTGTATCCATCTATATCCAAAGCTAACTCTGAGTACAACTACCGTTACCACAACCAGGATTCACTGGGGGCATATACCCCTTATAGATTCCTTATAGACTTATAGCTATTGGGGGGCCCACATTTGCAGGGATTCTATCCCACCCACCAAACTTAGTCACTGGAAGGTGTGAGCTTTGCATCTCATCCCGCAAGTGTTTTCACCCCACGGAAGGAGCCAATGGAACCTTTGTGGCGAAGTGGGGCATTTACCCATTTCATCCATCATTTACCCATTTCTAGTCCTGTTGGATCATCCAATCTTTGATCCAATCTTTGGAAGATGTGTGTATCATTTTGATCCATAGTGACTTAGTGATTCTGGAATGACCTTGAGAGTCGGGCGTGGTTTGCCACGTCAACGGCTCATGTATACAGATTTGTCCATTCATGTCCCCAAAATTTCCTTCCGTGCGGAGTAGCCAGCAGTCTGCCCATTGTGCATCAAGCCAATGTCCTGCCATACTGTTGATGTGTGACAGTGCCGAAGTTCTGAAGAGCACAAAACATGGACGAAACCTTTTTTGGGGTGCAGAAATTTGGAGTCCAGACATGACCTTTTTTTCAGCATACGATGCTTTGAGCCTGGATTTTCTGGTAATTACCCTATTTTTGGGACATTCCATTGAACCCCCAGATGCGAGCAGTGAAGTGTTTTGAGTAAGAAGCCTACTATGTGTACTATGTGCCAGTGATATTCAGGCTCAAAGTCCTGGAGACGGCTCAAAGTGGCTGGAAATTGGCCGACTGGGATCACAACATCGAAGTGACCAAACTTCTGGACCCCTTACAGTGCCTTACAGACCGTGTAGGTTTCCCAATTCGTGGTTGCTCTACTTGTTACATCTCGTTACTTGTTTGTCTTGATGACCTTGGCTGGACGCAGAAAAAATGGTGATCTTGCCGATGCCCAGGCTATCTGGGGCATCCATAGTACCATACTGAGACATCGGAGAAAAAGTCTCTGCTGGCGACAGGGGTTCAGACCCCCACATGGCTAAAACAGATTTGCAGAATGTTGCTGATGATCTTTACCTCGTTGTTAAAAAAGGCATCCAACTCTTCGATGAATTTTGGGGTTGGCTCTATCTACCTATCTGTCTATCCATCTATCTGCCGATTTTGCAGCAGGGAATGGAGATCTTAACATCTGATTCTGATGAAGCCACCCAATTTGGAGATGTCTACGTAGAGGCCATGTAAGGAAACTTGCGTGATTCCTCTCTCTCGACCAGCGGTGCTACTGTACTCGACCAGTTGACAAGAAGGAAACGTCAGGTACTGTAGGCAATTAGGCAATCGCAAGTTTTTGACATCAGACTATGGTGCTTTGATCCAACTTTGCCCACTAGACCAATTCTAAGATACATGAACATCATCCACAACGGCAATCCGTTGCCCGAACCAGGTTGAGTTTATGAGACTCGGGCTCTATTGATCTACAAGTGTATTCGTTCACCATGGGTCCTAAGCAGCTCTTTCGGCCGTTTTCTTACTTTGCTGCTGAAACTCAGACCAGCTAAAATTTGAGCAGCAAAACAATTCAGCCCACAGAACGAATTGAGCATTTCTACGTAAAATGACGATGGGATCATTTTGACTTCAAAATTTGGGACCGGCCCATGGTCTGAAGCCTCATTTTCCCCATTCAACACATGAGTCTGAAAAGTTTGGCCAAAATTTGGTTGATCATACTGTGGAAAGAACATGAAAGAACTCCAGCACCAGTTGATTTCTCCGGGGTTTTATCCCATGGTGCCATGGGTTGTTTCGCCATCCTTTTGGTGTTACGGATTTCGTTTTAGCGAGGTAGCCAGCGCTTACTGCTTTTCCTGTTCCTTCGTCTTTCACCTCTGTTCCTGCCTCCTGGCCTTCGGTGTATTGGGGATTAATATGATGGGATTAATGGGATTATCATTGACATTAATATTCATGGGATTATCATATGATATTATTATTAATATATTATTAATATGTATTGGGTCAATGGGGATTCAAAATCCGTGATTCATGGGACTCCCAATTGACCAAGCATTATTTTGCGGCGCTCTGATGGTGCCATTCTCAAGACAGATTGTTGCGCGTGAATGGAGAGTTGGGTGTGAATTTCTCTAGGTTGTGAAGGCGGAGCAGCTGGGTTTGGGTCAGAATTGAGATCCCGGGGAACCACAGATGGACTTGTCCTTTTCGGGATTCTTGTGCAGCATCCCATCGTAAAGCTGTTGCATATCATCCCAATTTTATGCATTGCAAGGCCACCATCCATCTTTTGGTACCATGGAGTACTTGGACGGTCTCTATCCCATTTAGGGGTACATGAAAATGGAGAACCAAAGAAAATAAAGAAATCATCCAAAACCAGCGCTTCTCAATAGGAAACTCATTGGTTTTTGCTGCCCCATTTCGGGACTTCCCCCCATTCGCAACTATATTAAGACTTTTTTTGGAGGCCCAAACAGCGCGAAGAATCGCAAATAAAAGAGAACAGAATTCCTGCGTTCCGAGGCACCCGAGCTCAGGTGAGACACTGCACGTGACCATCGGCCGGCGAAATTGTTGTTTTTGTGAACCATCAACAGGTGTTTAATATGGGCGTTATATGATTCTGTAGCAGTATAAACAGTATAAAGCATCAACTATCACTAACATGTACTGTATATATCAGTATATATAGGTTCTTACCGATTTAAAACCATCATATGGGTTTAATCATCGAGGAGGGATATCATTTGATGGTTAAACGTTGGTAATAAGCCATCAAAGACAGTGATTGATGCTTCAGACTTCAGATCCAGCAATGGGAATCATTGAGTCACTTTGAACAGTGCAGATATATCCATTTATACCGTATACCCCCGAAATGATAGTTTGTGGATTGATGGTTAGGGCGGTTAGGGGTGATTTCTATGTGGTTTCATGGGGATGATCGATGCATCCAATGCATCCACGACCACTCTGGGCTCGACAACGAAGCAGCTAAAAGAAGGGTTGCCAAGAAACTTGTGGATAATCAATGATAATCTATGATAGTCTAAAATAATAATCATAGATTATCACTGACTAAATGATCGAACACTTTAAGAAACTGGTGGACTTTTCCGATTTCCGTTTCTGTTTTTTTGGGGCTTTAACCGATTGGCTTGCCGTCAGGTATCGGATGGATCTCACAGGTATCGTGGTGTTGATCACCATCTCGTCCGGAAACCCGGAAACCCGGAGCCACCACTTACCATATTTACCATCAACAAATGGTGCATTTTCATATCGAGTAGAGTTAGTAGAGAGTGCCCAAAGTGATATTTTTGGGAGATCAGATCGGCCCAAACATCTAGAGTGGAACTCTAGCCGTCTGGCTGAAGGTACTTTGCCGGCATTGTGCGGTGCCTAAGTGGCTGTGTGGCAGATGCAAAGAGGTCCTTGCTGTCGCATGTTTTTTTTTGAAATCGACCGTTTGGGGATACTACGAAGGGATGCCAGATTCTTGGAAGTCTATAGGCTGTCAAAGTTGGGTAACGCTCAAATTTGGAGGGTTCCCTAAAACGAAGATGTTTAAATTCCATGTGCTTCACAATTTAACTTCCCTCCAGAAAATCATCTGAGGATACTGATACTTGTTGAACCATTGAACCCCCATCTGCCGAGGCTCTGGGTTTCCGGTGCTATCCCGTTTGGCCCCAAGGGGACGGTTTTTGGAGGTGAACCCAAACTCCAATTTTCAGCTTCCTGGAGGCCCTGAAAAGCTTCTACCTCTTCTATGCTGGTGCCGTTTCTTTGGCCCTGGCGGTGTGGCCCCGGTCCTGTTTTAGATGCCGGGGGCTTGATGTCGTCAGTCGCCCAGTGTGGCCCATCATCACGGTGTCCATCTGCATGGATCTGATGCAGTCCGCAGACTTTCAGCTTCACAAGTTTACAGTCATGCTGGCCGCACCAAACATGAACAAACATAGTTTCCTGTCATGTCAGCCCCGTTCTGATAAACAGTGGTTGATTGATAAGGTTGGTACCCTAAAATGTGATACATCACAAATATGGCCCATCAGACGATCAGATTGAACCAATTCAGCTTGGACACCGACCTATTTGTCTTGTTTCTTGACGTTTGTTGCTTTTGGTGTTAACCGATGGCGCAAAGACCAAAGCAAAAAAATCATGCTTCGATCTTCTCGGATTTCGTCGGGTCGTACTAGCCGTTACTAGCCAAAGACCAAATGGTAAGTACTTGAATTTATATCCCGGATGCTGCTGGAAAAAGCAGTGCTAACCCATTACTGATCAGTACTCTATGGCTTAAGGTCATTCTCGTAAGCTTCGTCATCTTCCAGCGATGCTTCCGCCCTACGTTTTGCCAACCGCAGCTGCCCCGCGTTTGGCGCCACGGGTGTCGCTCAGCGCGGTTTCGCCGGCCGTGCGCGTGGCGAATGCGGTGCCGCGGAGGGGGTGGCAGATTGGATGGCTGGCTGCGCTCTGTGGCTGGGGCAGGGGCCAAAGGGCCGTGGCAGCGCCAAAGAAGGTTGTCACTTGGCAGGCCGGCTGAGCGAAGGTTGGCGAGATTTGAGGAAATCCATGGAAATCCCTAGTTGTGGACATGGCACCATTTGCATTTGGGGATTTGGATTTGGGGTCATGCCAGCTGTGATTTTGGTTGTTTGAATCATGAACATTTTGGGAAGTACAGTAGCGATGCTGAAACCAGGGTAGTAGGGTTTTGACACAACATCCAGGAACCAGCATTAGGGAGGAAATTAGGTTTGGACGATGGAAGAGATGGATGGATATTTTTCGGGTTCGAAAGCGCCAGATTACATTTGTTCTTCTTGGCGGGACTTAACTCGCGTATACTTCATGTGGCAGGAGAATTTGTCGCCACTGTTTTCACAGGGTTGAAATCTGCCCCTCGACATGCCGGATTCGCCACTTGAGCCTGTCGATGCACTGGAAGGTAAGTGCAACCTTGCAAAGCCTTGCAAAGATGAAGATCCTTTGAGGTCTCCATGTATGTGCATACATTTTTTACTCTTTTATAATATGTGTGCACAGAACCTATACAAAAGTTGATAATTGATATGTTTATAATTACACACACACATATATATATAATATAATATAATATCCACAACATATACATAATCACATATAAATATAATATAATATATATATATAATATAATCTAAACATGTATAATACATTATATATACATAATATATTATACACGTTAATATCCAATAATCACAGCATTCCTCAACTATGTCGCTTTGTGGTTCGACTGCTTTGTGCCAAGGTCAAGATTCACAGCGTCGACCAAGAAGTGGAGATTCCCAAGGCCAAGGTGGATACTCCCGTGGCCAAATCTCTAGAGAAGTTCACCTACCCAACCAGGTGGGGGGGTGACCTGCTGAGTTTTCCAAGCCAAGGATCGAAACAGCCAGGGAGAACGGCTGTTTCAGCGGCACTTTTTTTGGGGAGAATTCGATGGCATTTTCCAATGATTTCAACATCATCAATTTGAGGAATCCAAGCTTGACCCATTGATCAATTTTGAACATGGGAAGGATGGGAAGAACTGCCAGAAATGAAGCCAACTTTTTGGTGACGCTACAAGAGAGTCACGTTTTACTGTGCTTCAAAAATACAGAGGTGGGATTAGCATTCCACCAACAGGACAATTTACAGTAAATTACGTATCCATGCAACGCCTGATTGAATCCACTTTTTCGATTCACAATGTGCAGCGCACATTCTCTCCTTCCCTATTTTGATCATGGCTGATACGCTGCAATGGACGCTACCCGTTCCTTTTTGGACAAAGCGACTGGGATGCAAACACTGCCATGTCATACCTTTGGTTTCCTTCTTTTTGAGCGGATTTTTGGCGGCTTCAGAGATTCGTCTCTGACCATTCTGAGTCTTTTTCCTCCTCGTTGAATGCTCAGATTTGTTAGTTAGTCAATATTCTCATCATTGACTACTATGATAGTTGATCAACCAACTATAGTCAACTGTTGGTTGATTGATGTTCTCACCAATTTTCTACTGGTACATGATCATTTGACTGTTCGTTCAAGCCTGGTGCTTACCTACTTCTGTAACTTCTGTATGTCCATTGGTCAAATCCAAAAAATCCGTGTGTGAAACCTCTGAAGAGATGTAATGTAAAACTTCTACCTGTTGCAGTGGCTGTGCATCGGTTTTTCTTTTTCCAATTTTTCAACACGTATGGTTACTGCGTTTTCAAACTCTTGTCTCATGTCAATTTGTCAGTCATAGCAGGGGGTGGATGCATGGTCTGGCAGTCATCCACCAACGAAGACACTGCCTTTCCATGGTGATATGACACAGGGACGCCTTTGTCACGTACCTGCTATTTCAACTTCATTTTTGTCGTATATGGCGACCGGCTAAGCCAAGAACCGGCATGTCGATGTTGATTTGATTTTCACTTCGTTTTCTGCACTGTTGTCGCAATCTGTCAACTAATTTCATCTAGCACTGGACATGGCGATGATACCTTTTCGGTTTTTCTCGGGCCGTTTCATCGACCCACTCCTGTCAGGTGTAATTGGAGTGTTTTTGCACGTAAGATGCATTCCACATCAGAATTCGCAAAGATTGTTCTGAGCAAGTGTGTGTGTGTGTAACATCTGAATAGATGTAAAACTTCTTCTCTCTCTTTTTCTTCCTTTGTCCTCTCCCTTTCTAATTCTAAATTAAATTTAATGCAGGGGGCCACCGGGGTCCCGGGGGGGTCGGTGGCCACCGAAGACACCCCCCCGGGACCCGTGTAAACGTACCTGCATCTAACGATCTAGGCTAATTTGCATGTTTCAGGATTCAGTTCCTGACGGATCATATAATGATCCATTCTTGTCTAGTGTGATTTCCATGGTGGCTCCGACATGGTGCCATGGAGCCATTTGAGGCAACCCTCTTTAGGGTGAGTGTGACAGTCCTGAATTCTGAATTTACACATTTTAATTAGTAATTCGTTTAAGTCAAGTGCAACAGTTGGCCTTGCGGTTTATCAGCCTTTTCGAGTGTCCCGCCGCTCCTATTGTCCCAGGGACCCCAGTGCTGCGTTCTTCAAGGGAAGCCTTCTGAATGTTCTGAAACATCCGTTTTTTGCAGCAACGTTTGCAGCGCTAGTGCATCATGTCATGACATATGAATCAGGCAGGCACACGTCTTGCAGGTGTGGTATTCTTCTTTTTGATGGTTGTCTGGTGAGGTGAAACATATTGTGCATCTAATTCGATGGAACTTGAAAGCTGTTTTATGCCAATTGGGGCAAGACTTGACCACGGTCCCGGTGAAGGGAATAATCGCACGACCTTTAGGCATTTAGGGACTGAATCCTGTTTTTAATTAATTGTTTTGGTTTTCCTGTCGGTCATCAACTAGTCCCCCATTTGGTCCCTAATTTTCCCCGCGTGCCTCTCCGTAATGTGTCGTGGGGTTTAGGTGTGTGCGCTGTTTTGTTCAGGTCCGTTTCGCCGTGTAGGTTGGTTCCGGAGGTCCGTCTGTTCCCCTCCCCCCCCTGCGCTGTTTTGGCCGTTTGCCCTTCGTGTGTCCGCTTTTTTCTTCCTCTTGCCTTTCAGGGTTGACCCGGCTCCGGCCGGGTGTGTGTGTGTGTAACATCTGAATAGATGTAAAACTTCTTCTCTCTCTTTTTCTTCCTTTGTCCTCTCCCTTTCTAATTCTAAATTCAATGCAGGGGGCCACCGGGGTCCCGGGGGGGTCGGTGGCCACCGAAGACACCCCCCCGGGACCCGTGTAAACGTACCTGCATTATTCGTAGGATGCATCGTTAATTTCATTGTTTCGTATCTAATCTGCATGTTTCAGGATTCAGTTCCTGCCGGATCATATAATGATCCATTCTTGTCTAGTGTGATTTCCATGGTGGCTCCGACATGGTGCCATGGAGCCATTTGAGGCAACCCTCTTCAGGGTGAGTGTTGACAGACCTGAATTCTGAATTCACACATTTTAACTTAGTAATTCGTTTAAGTCAAGTGCAACAGTTGGCCTTGCGGTTTATCAGCCTTTTCGAGTGTCCCGCCGCTCCTATTGTCCCAGGGACCCCAGTGCTGCGTTCTGTCAAGGGAAGCCTTTCTGAATGTTCTGAAACATCCGTTTTTTGCAGCAACGTTTGCAGCGCTAGTGCATCATGTCATGACATATGAATCAGGCAGGCACACGTCTTGCAGGTGTGGTATTCTTCTTTTTGATGGTTGTCTGGTGAGGTGCAACACATTGTGCATCTAATTCGATGGAACTTGAAAGCTGTTTTATGCCAATTGGGGCAAGACTTGACCACGGTCCCGGTGAAGGGAATAATTGCACGACCTTTAGGCATTTAGGGACTGAATCCTGGTTTTAATTAATTGTTTTGGTTTTCCTGTCGGTCATCAACTAGTCCCCCATTTGGTCCCTAATTTTCCCCGCGTGCCTCTCCGTAATGTGTCGTGGGGTTTAGGTGTGTGCGCTGTTTTGTTCAGGTCCGTTTCGCCGTGTAGGTTGGTTCCGGAGGTCCGTCTGTTCCCCTCCCCCCCTGCGCTGTTTTTGGCCGTTTGCCCTTCGTGTGTCCGCTTTTTTTCTTCCTCTTGCCTTTCAGGGTTGACCCGGCTCCGGCCGGGTGTGTGTGTGTGTAACATCTGAATAGATGTAAAACTTCTTCTCTCTCTTTTTCTTCCTTTGTCCTCTCCCTTTCTAATTCTAAATTAAATTTAATGCAGGGGGCCACCGCATTTCCCGGGGGGGTCGGTGGCCACCGAAGACACCCCCCCGGGACCCGTGTAAACGTACCTGCATTATTCGTAGGATGCATCGTTAATTTCATTGTTTCGTATCTAATCTGCATGTTTCAGGATTCAGTTCCTGACGGATCATATAATGATCCACTCTTGTCTAGTGTGTGTGAACCATCTGCAAAGATGTAAAACTTCTAACTTAGCAGGGGGCCGCTGGGGAACATTGCAGTCAGCGGCCAACGAAGACGCTGCAATGTTCCTGTGAAAACGTACCTGCAATTTTCCAGCTTTTCGTCAATGGCAACCGGCTAAGCCAAGAACCGGCATGTCGTTTTTCCAACAGTTTTCAAACTACTGTACGGTTTTCGCAATCTGACTGAGCTGCATCAGAACAAGTAAATCCTTCGAGCAAGGACGTAGAACGATTTCCTCGCACAGTTTCTCACTTCCAATCATCAAACCATTCCTGTCAGGTTTAACTGAAGTGTTTTTGCACGTGCGATGCATTCCACATCAGTAATTCGATAAGATGTTTCTGAGCAAGTGTGTCACTCATGCCGATATCCGTCAAGGTGGTATGAGCCCTTCGGGGAAAGCCTTTCTAGGCTAACAATTGACGGTAAAACGATGTCTGAATTTACACTTTTGAATTAGTAATTCGTTTAAGTAAAGTGAACAGCCGGCCTTTTTTCCTTGTCTCACCCGTCGATGTCGTTGTGTTGAACCGCTGGCCGCTGTGCTTGGCCTCACCCTTTTCCTTTTCTCATTTGTCGATGTCGATGTGTTGAACAGCTGGCCGCTTTTCCTGGCCTCACCATTTTCATTGGACAGCCGATGCATAGTCTTAAGCTGCGACAACAACCTTCCTGTTGTTTCAAGAGACAGCCACTCCGCAGCCATTTACACATGATCAGGTAACAGGACATGCTTTCAAGGTGTGGTATCTTTCTTTTTTGGTTTCTCGGTGAGGTTGAAATTGTGCACCTAATTCAGGGGTTGAACACGTAAGCCGTCCAGAGGGTTGTGACTTGAATGCCGAGGGCCTTTGAGCCTTATCACGAATCTGCATGCTTGTGGATGCATCATGTCATTAACTAGTTCCCCATGGGTCCCTATTTCATGTGTTCTTGCGTTCTCCTCTCTCCAGGTAGGTTTGGCCCGTTGCGTGCTGAGGTTGATGTAGGTTTTCGCCGTGTCAGGTTGGTTCAGGCGCTTCTGTCTTCCCCCTCCTCCGCTGGTCTTGTTCCGGTTTCCGTCGGCCTCCGCTTTTCTTTTCCCTTGCCTTTCCAGGGTTGCCCGTTGCGGGCTAGGTTTCATGTGTTGGTGTTTTCTCTTTCCCTCTTCTTTTGCGTTCCCCTCTTTGCGTCCTGGTTAAGTAACTTTCATCTCATTGTCATCTTCACCTCATCTTCATTTCCCTTCCTCTTCATTTTCATCTCATTGTCTGGACCTTAATTTCCCACCCTCCTGCGGGAGGGTGTGTGTGTGAACCATCTGTAAAGATGTAAAACTTCTAACTTAGCAGGGGGCCGCTGGGGAACATTGCAGTCAGCGGCCAACGAAGACGCTGCAATGTTCCTGTGAAAACGTACCTGCAATTTTCCAATTTTTCGTCAATGGCAACCGGCTAAGCCAAGAACCGGCATGTCGTTTTTCCAACAGTTTTCAAACTACTGTACGGTTTTCGCAATCTGACTGAGCTGCATCAGAACAAGTAAATCCTTCGAGCAAGGACGTAGAACGATTTCCTCGCACAATTTCTCACTTCCAATCATCAAACCATTCCTGTCAGGTTTAACTGAAGTGTTTTTGCACGTGCGATGCATTCCACATCAGTAATTCGACAAGATGTTTCTGAGCAAGTGTGTGTCAAATCTCCGTTTGCATTGATGGGATCCAGATTTTTTTCTTTTCCGGGTGAACTCCCTTTGCTCTTTCTCGTGCTTTTTTTGTGGTTTGTTTCTGCTTCTTCTCGTGCTTTTTTGTGGTTTGCTCGTGCTTTTTCTCGTGCTTTTTCTCGTGCTTTTTCTGGTGCTTTTTGTGTGGTTTGCTCGTACTTTTGTGGGTTGCCAAAACCTTTTTTTAAGCACATTATTGAATGCGTCTGTCATTGTGTCAGTCTTGAAGATTTGTGCGTTAAATCACCGCGGTCTCCTTGGAAAAGGAACTTGGTTTCTTCATCTCTTTCTCGTGCTTTTGCTGGTGCCCTTCTGGTGCCCACTGTTCCAGCGAATGGGCAGTACACAATATATATATATATATACATATACACATACATACACATATTTATATACTTATGTTGATTGGTGAATATCCAATTCAATATTTTTACTGGTAAATAAGTGAATATCCCCAATATCACCATTTCTATTGCTAGATGACAACCACCCTACCCTATCTCACTCGTCCTCGGCAGATGGCCCTATGGTGAGCGCGATTTCTTCCGCCTGGACCGTTCCGATGACGCAGAATTCTATGCGGAGCCAAAGTGGCCTCGTCTGGGAGCCAATGAGGGAATGATCCAGCACCTATTAATAATTACCCTCTGGTTATTTAACATAGCCATGGAAAATGGCTCATGTATAGATGGTTTACCTATTTATAGCATGGTGATCTTCCATGGCTATGTTAAATATCCAGAGGGTAATAATTAACTATTAACAATCATTACCTTCGCCCCTACTAAACACCAGTAAGATCTGGGGGGAGTCAAGCAATCATGGGTAAGGCTTTGCTTTGAGGATCACCGTCGTCACTGGTTGGGAAGGTGTTGTTTCCCCAGTTTGGAATGGGAGAATCCACAGACTTTCCGCCAAACCATAGATCACTTCCGATCTGATTTTGTTGCGACGGAATTTTTACGATTGTCCAGATTCTGGGTTCTATTTTCGTCATGTTGCTCTTTTTTGCACAGATGCAGACCAATGCAGACTGCAGCTCCCCATGGTTCGAGGTTGCACCCCATTGCTGGTGTGGGATCATTATCTCCAACGTACGATCCCATCCACATAACTGATAATCACCAAAAATGGGACCACCAAATGACACACACAAAAACACGTCGAATCCAGGGTTTCTGGGGGTTTTGGGATGCTACCCATGGTAGGGAAAAGCCTGACCTATGCACGCGAAAGGGAGTATTTCTAACTTTTGGTGCTTTAGCCCTTGCAACGAAGCTCCTTTCCTGAATTATATGTAGGAACCCAAATTGGCAACCGAACTTAGACAGCTTAGCACCAAAAATAATGGATCTGTCATTGTGAACGCCATTGGACTTGATGGTGACGAATCGTTGTTTTGGATTCATTTTCTCACATCTTCCAGTCCATGCGCAGAAGAACATGGTGGATATTCATGGATTTGCCTTGCCCCCCAAATCCAGCGATTCATGGTGCTTCAGGCTGGTGAAAGATCCATATATTGGACATGTACCGAAATCATTCAGCTAAAAGTTTGGTGCCCCAAAAGCTACGAAGGGCTCTCTTTGGGGCCAAATGTGTGTTTTTTTTTTTTTTCGGGCCCTTGAGACCCTTTGGCATGTTCAGATATCGTCAGGTTGGTGAAGCATTTGGACGACCAAACGCTGAAGGTGCTGACGGAGTTCTATGCTGTGGTCTTCCCAAAAGACCGGGTGACCTGGGCAATTACTGGGACACGGGACAGCTCCAACATGAGAGGACAATAATGAGGGAGGAAAATATTCGAAAAACACGTGTATATATATATATACATTATATGTATCTATATTTATGCATATATATATATATAATGTATGGATAGGAAAATTGGGTCTTTACTTAATCTACTCATTTCTGTATTAGGGGTGTTGGGACGAGATGGTGATAAAAATCCGCAAAGGCCAACGCGGTGAACCTTCTTATTTTGGGGATGGTTAGAGAGGAAATAGAGGAACTATGAAGAGACCTGGATATTGTCATAGGACACTGCTTAGGTGCCTGGGAACAACAGCAATTTCTTTGGAGAATCACATTGAGGGTTTCTGGGATTTATGTCTGGCTGTTTTGAAGCAGATCCCATAGATCACCAAAAATGATGGTCGTTCTATAGGGGAAACCATCCACAACCCCTCTGGAGGAGATGATATAGTAAGCCTCTGAAAGGTAGAACAGCAATTCACTTTCGATGGGGGTTACTATATGTTACTATAATGTAAATATCAGAAATCCAAACCAATCCATTATACTTACGATGGTAAACCTAATCCGTTATTAATAACCATGTTAGCTTTGGATGTGACTTTTTTCTATTTTTTTGGGTTGCTACAAACTGTAGATCACGGTGCCATTGCGGGGCAGTGGTTCTCCAGTTGCGAGAACACCTGGAAAATCCCTTCCGCCCTTCCAAGGAGTTTTCGGCCTTGGACGTGTGTTCTTCGTGGATCTCGCATTACCCGCAGATGCTTGGACGGAATCTTTAAACCTCTCGTCGCGACGTCACTAGTGGGAATTGGTGAATTACGATAATTGATCATCATGGAAAAAAACGGTTTTGAATGAGAAAGGTATCCAACATAAATGGGATATCCCTATTGTTTATGAGACAATGTAAGGAAGTCATCTACAGATTTCATTAGATATATCTGAAATTGGGACTTGTTGCCAGGTTGGGTTGCAATTGACAACATGAATTTGAATCACAAACCATTAGGGTACACGGTAATCCCTTGATGAACTGTTGTGGTTGCCATCGATCCCCTTGTCATTCAGCAGGTGATGTCTCCTCTCACGTGGCCATGATACTCCAAGCATTTCAGGTAGTGAAGGTCCCAATTCCCCACTTGCATCTACCATTGTGGTTACAAGAAAGGTAGTTGTAGGTATATGTACAGTATGTATGTATGTATGGTATGGTATGGCATGGCATGGCATGGCATGGTATGGTATGGTATGTTATGGTATGTTATGCAATGTATGTAATGTATGTAATGTATGTAATGTATGTAATGTATTAATGTATGTATGTATGTATGTATGTATGTATGTATGTGTGTATGTATGTATGTATGTTTGTGTGTAATGTATGTATGTAATGTAATGTAATGTAATGTAATGTAATGTAATGTAATGTATGTATGTATGTATGTATGTATGTATGTATGTATTAATGTAATGTAATGTAATGTAATGTATGTAATGTATGTAATGTATGTATGTATGTAATGTAATGTAATGTAATGTAATGTAATGTAATGTAATGTATGTATGTAATGTATGTAATGTATGTAATGTATGTAATGTATGTAATGTATGTAATGTATGTAATGTATGTATGTATGTATGGATGGATGGATGGATGGATGTATGGATGGATGTATGTATGTATGTATGTATGTAATAATATATAATAATATTATAATATAATAAAAATATAATAATATATAATAATATATAATAACATATAATAATATATAATAATATACAATAATATATAATAATATACAATAATATATAATAATATATAATAATATATAATAATATATAATAATATATAATAATATATAATAATATATAATAATATATAATAATATATAATAATATACAATAATATGTAATAATATGTAATAATATGTAATAATATTTAATAATATATTCTAAAATATGATAATATTTAATAATATATACTAATATATACTAATATATAATAATATATTATGATATATAATAATATATACTAATATATACTAATATATAATGATAATATATAATAATATATAATGATATATAATAAGATATAATAATATATAATAATATATAATATATAATGGTATGGTATGGTATGTTATGGTATGTTATGTAATGTATTAATGTATTAATGTATAAATGTATTAATGTATTCATGTATTAATGTATGTATGTATGTATGCATGTATGCATGGTATGTATGTATGGTATGTATGTATGGTATGTATGTATGGTATGTATGTATGGTATGTATGTATGGTATGGTATGTATGTTATGTTATGGTATGGTATGGTATGGTATGTATGTATGTATGGTATGTATGGTATGTATGGTATGTATGGTATGTATGGTATGTATGGTATGTATGGCATGTATGGTATGTATGGTATGTATAGTATGTATGGTATGTATGGTATGTATGGTATGTATGGTATGTATGGTATGTATGGTATGTATGGTATGTATGGTATGTATGGTATGTATGGTATGTATGTATGTATGTATGTATGGTATGGCATGGCATGGTATGGTATGGCATGGCATGGTATGGTATGGTATGGTATGTATGTATATATATATATATACTAACCCTTTCTCCAACACTAAATTTCCCAATCAAAAATACTGGGTTCATATTCAATCCATTCTTTTTTAGTCCCCAAATTGGATGGGTATTCTCGGGACGGAAGTCGGCCAGGACGCCGAAACCTGTGCGGCTGGCAATCACTGGGATGAATGCAGAAGAGTTGAGCCTTGGCGAAATCCGCTCCACGGCAACCCCCAGGGGTTGGGATATGCCTGGCCCTCAAGTAGTGTCAATTGCCCGTTTGGAGTTTAACAACGATGGTGATACACAACACATGGGTTTTAAGCAACTAAGAATTCACCAGGAACCAGAACGCGTCCGCGACTTAGCCAAATGACGACGATCTCGTGTCCCACGCATTACAGGGGAAACCGTTGCCGATCAATATGAAATGAGAATTGGGATTGATGATCAATTCTTCAGATGAATATTCTTACCGTACCCTTGAAAAACCCAGTCCTGACAAAGGAAGACGCACCATCTGCAATAGGCAATTAATTCATCTAGAAATAGTTTATTTTCAGATCCATGACTCCATAACCACCATAACCTTCAAGAATTGTCAATCCACAAGCAGATGCTAGCTCCACGACACCTGAGCCATCCTGGACCTTCGAGAAGGTGACACGAAGCAACACCTCCGAACAGTTTCCATGTTCGGTTTCTATTTGGATTGGAAAAATGGTTCACAGATTTTTCGCGACATCTCACTACCGATGTTTTTTTTTGGAGAAGGCCAGTCAGTCTGTTCCGGCTTCACCATTCCCGAAAACGCTTCCGACAGCCATCCAGGAAGGCGAATGTCCAAGCGACCGACTGGACAGTGCAAGATCTGAATTTGGATCCCAAGTTGCCATATGGAGATGCTGAGTTCCTTGGGATGCTGGAAGGATGAGTTGCGCTGGTGAATTTTCGAGGAAAAAAATATGGCCTATTTCAAATGTGCCATGTTTGATGGGTACAATGACCCACAAGATAGAAAAAACATATTTACAAGCGCTAGGGTTAAGTCGTATCAGCTCGTTAAAGTCTTATCGGGAGGCCGTGCGCCTGCAAAAAGTTCAATTTTGGCATCACAACTTTTAGTTCAATTTTTGTATTGCGGCAACTTTTAGTTTTATTACTTATACTTATAACTAATCATTCATTCAAGGGGTACTCGTATACGCTGGTTGCTTGATTTGATTCGAAATTGACGTTTCGATCCTTTTCTTGAGGGATCTTGAGAAATTACGATCGTGGTCCCATTGCCCAGTTAGGTTTGTGCATGGGGAAACAGGACACATGAGTTTCTAATCCGTTGGAATTACCTGAAAAATCTTCAGTCAATTAGCTTTTCTTGAATTTTTATCAGTCAAGATCTGGGGATTCTCGTTGGTTTACCCTCTGGTAATTTAACATAACTATTGAAAATCACCATTTTTAATGGGAACATCCACTATTAATGGTCATTTTCAATAGCTATTTTGACATAACCAGAGGGTAACCTGACTTTCCCGCTGAGCCAGGTTCGATGTGGTGACCAACACCGTCTCAGTGGATTATCTCACAAAGCCGCTGGAGGTCTTCCGGGAAGTTGGCCGTGTGCTTCGTCCAGGACGCGACGGTTGGTGAATTGGGGATCTGTGGACACAGCGCAAATCTGTATATATTTATATTTGTTTCAGATATATTCATCTATGTATTGTATATATATAAATACGTATATATATATATAAATACGTATATATATATATATACATATACATATATATACATACATATATATATATATACATATACATATAATATACAATTGTATAGACTTAGGCAATAGCAATCCTATGTTATTGATGACCACCACCTCCCAGACCTGCTATAGACCTATGTCATGCCTGCTTCCCACCTCACCTACATTACCTCACACCTCTTACTGTACTAGAAATCTAAATCAACGGTCGCCTGCCCTCAGGAGGCCTTGCAGTAGTGGCTTTTTCGAATCGATGTTTTCTTTCAAAATTGGCGCCTTTGGTCTTGGAACATGGGGAACAGTCAGCAAAAATGGGAAGTCTGTTGCACTAGGTTGGATTATTTGAAAACTTGCAGGAAAGCATCGTTTTTCCATGTTTTTTCCATCAAAACTGAGGCTTTCCTGCAGAGTTTCCCCTGATTTGTTTTAAAAGAGGATCCAAGATCTGAACAAAAATAATTTGTTTAGATTTTGTTTTTGGGTTATCCAGCAATTTTGTTTGGATCAAACAGTTAAGGTCTATCCCGAACAGTTTGGTCGCCTGGGATGGTTTTCTTCGTGACCACTAGCCACTGGTCGGTGATTTTTAAGTGACCTTTGGCATCCGATTTGATTGTTATTCTTGTTACCCTCTGGTACACTAACATAGCTATGGGAAAATCCACTATAAATGGCCATTTTCAATAGCCATGTTAAATTACCAGAGGGTACTGAGACCATCATTTTTTTTGAAGCCAATGGATAGTAACCAAAAAAAATGATGGGTTAAATGAGTGGATTTACCATACTGAGAAGCCAATGGGATAAATGAAACTTGGAATAGTTCCATCCTCACTTCTTGAGTGCTTGGCATCTAAGCATAAGAGTTTTCCGTGGGGAATTTTCCCACTTTTTACCCTGCGTTCGATTATCCAGCGTTTTTTAGCCACCCCAAGAAACAGAGAGTCCACCTATCCTAACATTTCTTTTGCACCTTAGAAGCCTTGATGACTTCTTGGGTGTGGGGGTTTTACTACCATTTTTTTCCTGCGAAACATGGGGGTCATGACTCAGTTCCATCTGCCACCAGCCGAGGTGGCCATTTGGAGCGTGGGGGACCCCGACGATCGGGTGGAGGTGGCCGCCAACTACTTCCATTTCGCGGACCCGTGGCCGGGGTTTTGGGAGGAGTTTTCCCACGAGATTTGGGAGGAAAAAGTTGCTGTACGTTTATAGTGACAGATACTCTGAAAATGAGGTTTTTTTTGAGTCACAGCTGGTAAGTGGCGTAAATTGGAATTGAGGTTTTACTGTCAAAGTGGTTTCGGCTATAGACTGCCCAAACACTGAGGACACTCAGTTGTAACCGGTGGGTATTCTTTGTGTGAACTGTTGATGAGTCAAACTTGGTACCAATGGACCCACAAGATTAATCACTCTTGGGGTTTAGAATTTTGACCATACCTAAATGATCCTAAACGTGTTTGCCCGTCCAAAAGCTTGTGAGTCGAAAGGGATTCGCTGGGTCGTGGATCGGTGGGCCCTTCATAGTTGCCCCATCTCAATGTGGGGCATCGGCAAGGACTGCTTCAAGGACGCTGAAGCCGTGGATTTGTCTCCTCCCAACGCAGATCCACTGTTTGTGGTGACTGCGGTGCGCAAATAATGCACAGGGTATGGGAGAGAATGACCAGCTGGCTGAAGTCATGTTGGGGTCTGAAGAGATGAAACCATGAACAACTCACATGAAGATCAGGACAAGCCTAGACATGCAATGGTATCGCTCACGTCTGCATTTTACAGCCATCTTGGACTAGATGCTCCAGCGTCTGGTTTCTTCAGTCGGAGCTTTCATAGCTCCTTGACTCAGTTCAAGGAGGCAGTGCGGAGAGGAAAATGACAACGTTCCAACGGATAGTCAATTCTCTCAGTATACCGGATTTCATTCAGAACTGGTCGGGAAGAAACAATTTCATCTTCATTCAAAACTCCACTGCCCTCCTGTAGTAGGCCCCCCAAAATAGCTGGTGACCAGCTGGTGGTTATGGATGTTCATCCATACAACTTTCATTGAAAGTACCGGGGAATCCTTGAGATTTCCCCTGACATCAACAAATCGAACTTGCCTTGGGACATGCGAGAAGTCCCTACAGTTGTCTTTTTACTTCGATGGTTTTCTGCAATGATTTTGTTGCTATTATAGTCCAACTATATAAGTGGGAACACTACGTTCTAAGATTCTACACCAATGAATGATTGTTATCGTTGTAAGTTCGTATATAGTATATATATATATACACAGTATATATTTTATATTTGTTATTATCATTCTTCTGATTGTTATTATCCAACATTACTATTCGTTTATGTAACCAATGTTTTAGAAAATTATGTTTGTTATAATTCCAAGCCTTGAAACATTATCATTATCATTGTTATTATTTTTACTATCAATATCAGTCTTATAACATGTTACAACTATTCATTTTGTTGTATATACATATATACACATATTTGGTTGCTATTATTGGAAAAAGTGCTACGATTGCAATTACTACTATTGTATAATAGTACTATGTATTTTGTTACTATTTGTTAGTATTAGTCAGAACTATGTCACACTAGAACTCCTATTACAACATATTATAACTACTATTGCAACTATTGGAACTACTATCAGAACTATTATTGCATCTCTCCGATTATTATAAATATTATTGTAACTATCATTATTGTAACTATCATAGTTAGCATAGTGACAATTATCTATTACTATTATTGTAACTATTATTTCTATTGTAACAATTATAACTATTAAATCCATCTTCTTGTTGATTTTTTTCCCCAAGCGCCAGGCCCCTGATCAAGCCCGAGCTCTTAAAGGATCTAACACGTCACATGATTCTCTGCGTGGCCGCCGGACTGGTCCCGGCCGTTGGGGAAACCCAGGTGGCACAACGGTGGCACAACGGTGGCACAACGGTGGCACAACGGTGGCACAACGGTGCAACGGGGGGCTGATGAAACCATGGTTTTGTAAGGGATGAAACATGATGAACCCACATATGGGACCATTCTATAAGGGGGTATTTAAGATTGGGGCTGTTTTTTTTTTTGGTAGGGTAATTACTGTATCTAAGATTTGCCAGAAACATTGATTTCGTATGAGTGGAGAATGGCGAATGTTGGCCCCCAAGTATCCTGAAGTCACCGAATTTTGAGCGATTTTGGGCGCTTCAAAACGAAGAAACCCATCGGTTCGGACTCAGGTGCACTTCATCTGTGTGGCGACCTCTAAGGACCGGTTCCAATCAGAAAGGGGGAAGTGAAAGCCAGTGGAAAATTCAGGAGGTCAGTCAATGTCAGTCATGTCTTCAATCGTTTTTTGATGTTTTTTTGGCCATGTATTATTCAAACATATTCAAAGATGTAGATCCACAGAGAAAAGAATGAAAAGACACGGGTGAAAATGGTGAAAATATGAACTTTTTGACGCCGTTGGGATCAAACCATGAGGCCCATGGGTTTTTTTGAGGGGTTTTTTTCTGCAAGAAAAACAATCCGTAAATGGTAAAGATTGCCAAAGTGACCTCTCATCAATTTAGAAAGCCCGGGTGGCACTACTCTCAAGAAACCTGCATTGCGACTGGATTGTAGATCCACCATCCGGACTTCATACCAGATCAATTGCAGAATATTGCGGGCTAATTCCAGGCAGATGTTTTCCATCTAAAACTGTGGACAAAGGTGACTTTGCATACCATCAAGCGACTTGCGCAACTCCATGGTTAACGTGAGCTGAAGACCAGCGACTTTCATGGCTTGAGCGGTGATGGATGTGAGTTTGTCTTTGCGTGGATTCTCAGAACGAACCCTTTCGAAGCCGCAGCTCCAAGTCCTGGTTCCTAGTCTTGAAAAAACTGAAATGTGACCCCAGTTGCCCAAATGACCCGGTTTTGCTTGATGTTTTGTCACCAAGCGGTGTCAGCATGCGTTCCTTTGCGAGGCAAGAGGAATGGAGCCCGGAGCTTCTCAGTGAGCTGCAACGTGTCCAGGGGCCCGGTTTTTTTTGCCCGGCCGACGGAGAATGAAAGAATGATGATGTGGAGGAATTGCTGTGTTGGATCTATTTTTATCTTCTATTTGGGATGAAATTCTTGGGTGCAATGTTTTTGGGCCTTCAGAATCCTACCACAAGAATACCGATGCTCAGTGCATATCCCACTCTCGAACGCACCCCTGACCCCTTTTGCTCTTCTCCGTGGAGTTTCTAAATCCGGTGCTCGCGAACAAAATGCAGACAGCATCACTTTGGATTTATTTGGGGAGCAAAAAACGAGGGCAGCATCCACAAGGCCCATCAAGGCCCATCAAGGCCCCACAAGTCCTGTCCCAGATCGTGCCGCCATGGCGGCTGTGGGCGTGAACCATCCGGCCCCCTTGAACGTGGATTTGAAGACACCGGTAGATGTCGCTTGGAGAGGGTCATGACATAAATTTCCCAGTCTTGGGCTGTTTTTTCCCACTTTTTGGTGGTTCAACTGGCACTTAACCCCAGACGGTGATGTTGATGGAGGAAAAATTAGGAACCATGTGGATGAAAGGGATGGAAGATGTTCCTTTGGTCAAAAAAAAAAGTGGATTTTGTTTTCAGCTGGGTTCAGCAACATGATTTTAGAATATTTTAGACCATTCTGAGTGTGTAATTTTTGGAATCTTTCATTTGCACTGACGGGAGCAGGTGAATGCTCCAATTGATGCGAGAGACATTGACTTGGTCCAGCAGACCTTTGCTCGAGTGGCAATGATGGGCTCCAACGCGATTGGGCGACTCCTCTTTATGAACATTTTCAAGAGACTCGGTGATCAAACTCGCCATTTCCAGCTGGAGAATCGGAGAATCCCACGAATGCTTCAGGGATCCCCAAAGCTGGAACACTGTTCCAGTGTCATCAAACATGGCAAAATCCAGCAATAGTTCCATGAGATTTTCCCAGCAAACTACACCTCCATTGACTCCTTGGATTGCCCAGCTAGTCATGTTTGATTATCCCATCATGTTCCCATTCAATTCCATTCAATTCCATGAAAAATTCGATATTTGATCCATATTTCTTGATCGTAAAACCTCCATTTCCACCGGATGACCGCGGGTCACCGGTGTGGCAAGGATCGCGCCGGAGGCGGTGAAGCTTTTCCCCATGGCCAATTGTGATGCGAACATGTGGCGCCCGGGGAGCGCTCTGGAGGCAAAGCTGGGTTTCCAAAGCTGGGGCTCCCAATGGCTACCAGTTACCATGGGATTTTGATGGGATTTTGATGGGAAGCTAATGTTTTCCGCTGGATAAGTTATCACGGATCCTCTCAGAGATCGTTTGGGGTAGCCATATTTTAGGGAAACCTCCAGTCGAAGGGTGTCTCTGAAGATGTTCTCCTGATGTCCAGGAAGTTGAGAGGTATATGATTTGTTACTGGATGAACACCACCCATAAGTAATCCATTTAGTGGTCAATAACTTACACAACCCGGTTACTGCACACCTTAAGATGTAATAAACATATAATAAACATATTAAGAGCTCATTTCGCAACGTCGCATTTTAATGGATTTTCCGAGGTATCGTACGAGGGGGGTCACACGTGGGTACGAACGTGTATCTACTGACCTACCTTATCAACCTGTCGATCTATTTCGCTCTGGGTGTTTCTAAACACTTCTATCACCTTCTATCTATCATTTCTGTCAAACCAATGTAGCTATTTCATGGGCTTGGAAACCTGGGATGTGCTTACTAAATATGTGTGTATACATATATATATATATTTTCTCATCGTATGTATATGTATATATGTATATATATGTATATATGTATGTATATGTATGTATATGTATATATGTATGTATATGTATATATGTATGTATATGTATATATGTATATATGTATATACATATATACGTATATACGTATATACGTAAATACGTATATTTGTATATATGTATATATGTATATATATATATATTTATATATGTATATATGTATATATATATATATACATATGTATATATATATATATGGTCCAGCGTTCCAACCCCCCTCCCCCCGGGCCATGGTCATGGGTCAGCCATAATACTGTCCCCCTCCCCCCCTGTGGTGTGGGGGGTGTGGTACTGTCCCCTCCCCCCTGTGGTGTGGTGGGGGTGTGGTACTGTCCCCCTCCCCCCCTGTGGTGTGGTGGGGGTGTGGTACTGTATGGATGGTAGGTATGGTATGTAAGTCTGTTGGGTATGGTTACTATTATGGGTATGGAATGTTTGCTATGTAAAGTAGGTATGGTATGTATGGCATGTATGTTTGGTATTGTATGTATGGCATGGGAGGTGTGGTAATTATGTTTCATATGTATGGTATGTGTGGTATGCATGATAGGTATGATAGGTATGGTATGTATGATCAAAGTTCGTATGGTATGTATGGTATGTATGGTATCATTGGAATGTATGGTAGGTACGGTATATGTTAACCACATGTAGTGTTGTGAGAGTACACAGGTAGTAAACAGGAAGTAGATACATAGCATATGTAAATATGACTATAGGTAGCACGTAGGTACTTTGAGGGAGTATGTGTGCTACGTAGGTCGTCTAAAAGGTAGCATGTACCTAGTAAATGCGAGGCTGGTAGTCAGAAATGCTGCAAAGACCTAGCAAATACGAGGCTGGACCTCAGTAATGCTGCCAATATCTTGCCCATAGAAGGGAAGGGGGTGCTAGCTGGGGACCCATACCATTGGGGGGGTGGGCGGGGGAGGAACACGGAACAGGAGACCATATATATATATATATGTATGTGTTTATATATATATATATGTATATGTATATATGTATATATGTATATATGTATATATGTATATATGTAAATATGTATATATGTATATATGTATATATGTATATATGTATATATGTATATACGTATATATGTAAATATGTAAATATGTATGTATATGTATGTACATATATATATGTATGTATATGTATGTATATGTATGTAGATGTATGTATATGTATATATGTATATATGTAAATATGTAAATATGTATTTATGTATGTATGTATTTATGTATATATGTGCATATATGTATATGTGTGCATATATGCATGTGTGCATATGTGCATATGTGCATATGTGTATATGTATATGTGTATAGAAACACACACATATGTATATATTACATATATACATATATATATATACATATGTATATATTACATATACACATATATATATATTTACATATGCATATATATATATACATATACATATATATATACATATATAGATACATATATATATATACATATATACATATATATATATACATATATATACATATATATATACATATATATTTACACATACATATATACATATATATGTATATGAAAGATTTTACCTTTCGTAATTAATGCAAATGTATACGCATACATATTCACATATCTACAAATGCACAAGTATCCATATGTGCATAAAGCCAAATTTACATGCGTGAGTACCTATGCATACATATACTGACATATATATAATTACATATATATATATATACATGTGCATTTCAATCACCTTGTATTCTTTTTCCATGTATATAAATATACTTATAATATATATATATATGTATATAATATATATGTATAAGCCTATGCACATATGCATATTTCGCTATCTATAAATATACATATAGTACCTTGCATATGTGCATTTTGAAAAATATCTTTTATAGACCTACAGTATTTCCATATGAAGATCCATCCGTTGAAGCATCAAGTTCCAACTCCATCGGCAGGTGCATGTTTTAAAGGTGGTGGAGACGGTGGCCACGGCGGTGTCACTCCTGAAGGATCTCGACACTTTGGTGCGGAGGGATCAACTGGGGGAGCCAAGGGGATAATGGATAATCCAGTGATTATGTTTGATATGATATTACATAGTCATAATATATATATATATTTACATATATGATATATATATATACATATCATATATATATATACACATATGTATTATATATGTACATATATCATATTTTTCTTGTATCATAAATGAATTTAGTTCCATCATGATTTGGATATGTCCTTCTGGCTACGACGCCCCAAATGGGGATCCAATAGAACTTGGGGTCTGAAAAAAACGGGTACCCGGGTACCCCCAAAATCCAATGGTTTATCAACAATTTCGCAGTATTTCATAGACATAAATTTCCTCATAAACTGGGGTAGCCTCTGGTAAACGTTAACAAAAAACTATGGAAAGATCCACCATTTTTCATGGGAAAATCCACGAACTCAATGGTGATTTTCCATAGTTATGTTAAATTACCATAGGGTATCACCATTTTCAGACAACCTAACTTATTTCTTATTACACTCATTTCAAGACCCCTTTTTTGTTTACGTAACAAAACTGATATTTTGATTGTTGATTCAGTGTTCATGTAGTGTGGGTCAGTATTATTCGACGCCCAAACATGGATTGTTTGACACAATGTATACCACGCATGAACAAATTTGTGAACTTATTAGTGTTTTTTCCTAAAAATAAGGTGTATATATATATATATACCCAAGAGCTAGGGGTTGATGCATATTTTCCATTGCCATTTCATCGGTATACCACCCAATTTTCAAACAAACCCAAATGGGTGTGTGTAAAAATGTGGCACCCGCCAATTCCGATGGATTGGGTACCATTTACCCTCGTTAAAATTGCCACATATCATCAAATTTTTCCCAGTGGGTATCCCCGCATGCCGTGAAGGTAGTGAAATGAGTTTTTGAACCCAGGACTGAATCAGTGATTTGATGCTGGTAGTCGCTATCACAAGGTGAGGGGAATCTCCAAAATATGATCTAGGAAAAAACATCTGAAATTCAAGAGAAAAATATTATTTTAGCAACCCTTTCCCCCATCACCCTCGTGCCATAAATCTTAGCCCGAAACCATGGCACAAAAAATTGCAACATAAACCAGCAACCATGATACGGACTTATGACTTATGGATGATATTGTAGAGCTTCGCACACCGGCGATGCCTGTAGGGGTCGGGGGAGGGAAAGAGAGAGGGGGATTTCATCTGAACTTGCGGACATGACATGCTGCGAGCTGCATCTTCGTTGTCGTCATCGTCATTGTCGTCGTCGTCGTTGTCGTTGTTGTCGTCGTTGTTGTTGTTGCTTCTGGTCCTCCTTCTCCTTCTCGTTCTCGTTCTTGTTCTTGTTCGTGTTGTCGTTGCCGTTGTCGTTGTCCTTGTTGTCGTCATTGTCGTCATTGTCGTCGTTGTCGTCGTTGTCGTCGTCTTCGTCGTCGTCGGCACCATCATCGTCGTCAGCGTCGTCGTTGCTGTTGTTGTTATTGTGGTTATAGCTGTTGCTGCGTGGTCCTGTTGTTGTTGCCGTTGCTATCTTTGTACTGGGTACTTTTTGCAAACCCCCCAAAATTGTCAAATGGACGTTTTTTGCAAACTCCAAAAAGCGTCAAATCGGCGGTGTTTTCGCAATTTTTCACCTTCGCGGAACAAAAAAACACAGTAAATACCAATGTTTTTGGCTCGGCACCAACGCAAAACCACGGTATTTACGAGGTTTTGAGCCTCTGCGAGCAAAAATCACGGTATTTACAGTGTTTTGTGGCCCGAGCCTAGCCAAAACACTGCTATTTACGCAGTTTCCTGCATGTTGGCAAAAGCTTTTTTTGGATGCCAAAGGCACATTGTAAATTACACGATTTTTACGCGTGGACAGTACCAAAAAAACAGGAAAAATGACCAAAAATCGACCAAAAAACGCCCAACAAGAACCTCCAAAACGCATCTTCAAATTTTACCCTCTTTTTTCCCACCCCGAACCCCCAAAAACGTGAAAACCCCAGCAGGCTGAAGGATTTTAGGGGAGGGTCGGCGGCAGGGGCGCGCCCCCGGGTAGCTAAAGCTATGCTTAGCTTCCCACACTACACGGCCAGGCATCGCCGGATTTATGAGGCTTACGCCTGACAGCCGGGCGCCGGCCAAAGCAGACCCGTGGAAGGTATGCGTTGGGTGTAATCCATGTCCATGTTCTGGTGTTGTTGTTGTTGTTGTTGTTGTTGTTGTTGTTGTTGTTGTTGTTGTGTGTTGTTGTTGTTGTTGTTGTTGTTGTTGTTGTTGTTGTTGTTGTTGTTGTTGTTGTTGTTGTTGTTGTTGTTGTTGTTGTTGTTGTTGTTGTTGTTGTTGTTGTTGTTGTTGTTGTTGTTGTTGTTGTTGTTGTTGTTGGTGTTGTTGGTGTTGTTGGTGTTGTTGGTGTTGTTGGTGTTGTTGTTGCTGTTGTTGTTGTCGTTGTCGTCGTTGTCGTCGTTGTTTTTTGTTGTTGTTTTTGTTGTTGTTGTTGTTGTTGTTGTTGTTGTTGTTGTTGTTGTTGTTGTTGTTGTTGTTGTTGTTGTTGTTGTTGTTGTTGTTGTTGTTGTTGTGGATGTTGTTGTTGTTGTTGTTGTTGTTGTTGTTGTTGTTGGCCGATGTTGGCCCTATTTGGGCGCAGGTTTGCCCCTGTCTTGGCCCTAGGTTGTTGTTGTTGTTGTTGTGGTTGTGGTTGTTGTTGTGGTTGTCGTTGTCGTTGTCGTTGTTGTTGTTGTGGTTGTTGTGGTTGTTGTTGTTGTTGTTGTTGGCCGATGTTGGCCCTATTTGGGCGCAGGTTTGCCCCTGTCTTGGCCCTAGGTTGTTGTTGTTGTTGTTGTTGTTGTTGTTGTTGTTGTTGTTGTTGTTGTTGTTGTTGTGGTCGTCGTCGTCGATGATGATGTTGTTGGTGATGTTGTTGTTGATGTTGTTGTTGATGTTGTTGACGTCGTTGATGTTGTCGATGTGGTTGATGTGGTTGATGTTGTTGTCTTTTGCATCAAGTTGGAGCTAAGTTGGGCCATCTTGGAGCTATGTTGAGCCATCTTGGGGTCATGTTGGGCGATCTTGGGGCCATGTTGGGCCTATGTTGGGCCATCTTGGGGCCATGTTGGGCCCATGTTGGGCCATCTTGGGGCCATCTTGGGCCTATGTTGGGCCGTCTTGGGCCATCTTGGAGCCATGTTGGGCCTATGTTGGGCCATCTTGGGGCCATGTTGGGCCTATGTTGGCCCTATGTTGGCGCAGGCTTGCCCGTATCTTAGCCTTATGTTGACCCATGTAGCCCACATCTTGGCCGATGTTGGCCCTATGTTGACACCAAGGCCGTCAAGATGTCCAGTTTTCCGTTCCGGACCCCTTCCTAAGACCCAAAACCATGAAAAACCCATGGTTTTTTAACGTCGCCAAGATGAAACCTGGAGACGGCGAAGGCCACAAAACCCTGTAAAAAACAATGTTTTTTGAACACCACACGCAGAATGCACTGTAAATTACAACGATAATCGTGAACCGGAATCGACACGAGGTAAGTACGAGGTGGGTCGGCGGCAGGGGGGGCAGCCGTATATAACCTTCGGTTACCACCGAAGGCCTCCGGCAAGGACACGGGCGCGGGGCCGGCGCCCGGATTTAAGCGCTTACGCGCGACAGCCGGCCAGGGGCCCAACTATGTAGGCCCATTGTGTGGCTATGTTGGCCTATGTTGGCGTATGTTGGCCTATCTTGCGGGCAATGTGGGCCCATCTTGTGGCTATGTTGGCCTATGTTGGCCTCATGTTGACCCATGTTGAGCCAAAGGATCCGAAAAATGGGAACAGCAAAAAATCACTGTAAAACGCAGGATATTTTGATGGTCGGCGGCCTATCTTGGGGCTATGTGGGCCCATCTTGGGGCTATGTTGGCGTATCTTGAGGGCAATGTGGGCCCATCTTGGGGCTATGTTGGCCCATCTTGGGGCTATGTTGGCCCATCTTGGGGCTATGTTGGCCCATCTTGGGGCTATGTTGGCCCATCTTGGGGGCTATGTTGGCCCATCTTGGGGCTATGTTCGCCCTTCTTGACGCCTATGTTGGCCCATGTTGACCCATCTTGAGCCACAAGCTCCGAAAAAGGAGAAAAAATGCGAAGAGCACAAAACACCGTAAAACGCGACAGTTTTTGGCGGCCGGGGGTGTCGGCGGCAGGGGGCGGCGGCCCCTCTCTCCTACGGAGAGGAGAGAACTGCCGTACGGCAATGCCACGGCCAGGGGGCCACTGGCCGGATTGGTCGTGGTTTGTGCTGGAAGGTTTGGGGTAGTTGGTCCGTCGTGGTGAGTGCTTGCAGGTATGGAATTGGTTGGTTGGAGCCACAGGCCCCGAAGAATGAGACAGAGTTGGTGGGTCGGTGTTGGTGGTCGGTTGTTGATGGTCGGTGAGTACATCTTGCGGCTATGTTGTTGCCCCAAGTTGGAAGCTATGTTGCCCCATCTCCGCGCTACGTTCCCCCAGCTTGATGCCTAGGTTGGCCCATGTTCACCCATCTTGCACCACAGGCCCCGAAAAAAGAGACAAAACACAAAAAGCGCAAAACACCGCAAAACGCGGTAGTTTTTGAGCACTGTTTGCAAGTTGGTGGGTCGGTGTTGCGTGTTGATGGTTTGTGACGTGAGATTGTTGTGGCTCTGGGTGGTACTTGCAGGTTTGGGGTTGGGTTCGGTTTGGGGTTGGTGGGTCGGGGTTGGTCGGTCGTGGTTTGTGCTTGCAGGTATGGAATTGGTGGGTTGGGGTAGGTCAGTGGTGTCGTGGTTTGTGCTGGAAGGTTTCGGGTTGGTCGGTCGTGGTTAGTGCTTGCAGGTATGGAATTGGTTGGTTGGGGTAGGTCAGTGGTGTCGTGGTTTGTGCTGGAAGGTTTCGGGTTGGTCGGTCGTGGTTAGTGCTTGCAGGTATGGAATTGGTTGGTTGGGGTAGGTCAGTGGTGTCGTGGTTTGTGCTGGAAGGTTTCGGGTTGGTCGGTCGTGGTTAGTGCTTGCAGGTATGGAATTGGTTGGTTGGGGTAGGTCCCATCGCAGTAGTTTTCGAGTACTTTGTGCAAGCGGGGTTGGGGTTGGCCGGTCGGGGTTTGTGCTTTCGGGTTTGGGGTTTGTGCTTTCGAGTTGGTAGGTCGGTGTTGGGTGTTGATGGTTTGTGAAGTGAGATGGTTGTGGCTCTGGGTTGTGCTTTGAGGTTTGGGGTTGGTGGGTCGGTGTTGATGGTCGGTTGTTTGTGGTCTGTGGGCATATCTTGGGGCTATGTTGGCACATCTTGGGGGCGATGTTGCCCCAGCTTGAGGTTATGTCGGCCCATCTTGGAGCTATGTTGGCCCATCTTCGGGGCTATGTTGCCCCGGCTTGAGGTTATGTGGGCCCAGCTTGGAGCTATCATGGCCCATCTTGGGGCTATGTTGGTCCCGCTTGGGGGGTATGTTCGCCCATCTTGACGCCTATGTTGGCCCATGTTGACCCATCTTGCGCCACAAGTTCCGAAAAAGGGCCAAAAATGCGACGAGCACAAAACACCGTAAAACGCGGGGGTTTTTGGCGGTACCGACTCTCCTGCGGCAGGGGGCGCGGCCCCTCTGTCCTACGGAAAGGAGAGAAACGCCGTACGGCAAGGACACGGCCAGGGGGCCCCTGGCCGGATTAAAGGGCTACGCCCTCTGCCGCCGACCCTTGGACACTGGAAAGGAGTGAGATGCACCAAGAGAAGCTCCGGGCCAAGCAGCCGAAACAGGAAGCAAGGTCCTGAAGGACGGACCGGGCCTGCGGGCCACGGCCGCCACTGCCTAGCGTTGCTTTCTGAACTGCCTAGGAACTAGCTTCAAACCTTGCTTTTTCCTGCCGTCAGCTCGGGTCCAAGGACCCTGTCGCAGGCCTCAAACACCATGGCAGTGAAGGACGGATCGGGCCCGCGGCCGGCAGCCCGGGTCCAAGGGCCCGCGGCCGGCTGCCCATACTGCCAAACGTTGCTTTCTGAACTGCCTAGAAACTAGCTTCAAACCTTGCTGTTTCCTGCCGTCAGCTCGGGTCCAAGGACCCTGTCGCAGGCTTCAAACACCATGGCATGCAGTGAAGGACGGATCGGGCCCGCGTGAAACTAGCTTCAAACCTTGCCTTTTCCTGCCATCAGCTCGGGTCCAAGGACCCTGTCGCAGGACTGAAACAGCATGGCAGTGAAGGACGGATCGGGCCCGAGTGAAACTAGCTTCAAACCTTGCTTCTTCCTGCCATCAGCTCGGGTCCAAGGACCCTGTCGCAGGCCTCAAACACCATGGCAGTGAAGGACGGATCGGGCCCGTGGCCGGCAGCCCATACTGCCAAACGTTGCTTTCTGAACTGCCTAGAAACTAGCTTCAAACCTTGCTTTTTCCTGCCGTCAGCTCGGGTCCAAGGACCCTGTCGCAGGCCTCAAACACCATGGCACTGAAGGACGGATCGGGCCCGCGGCTGGCAGCCCAGGTCCAAGGACCCTGTCGCAGGCCTCAAGCACCATGGCAGTGAAGGACGGATCGGGCCCGCGGCCGGCAGCCCATACTGCCAAACGTTGCTTTCTGAACTGCCTAGAAACTAGCTTCAAACTTTGCTTTTTCCTGCCATCAGCTCGGGTAGCACAGGTGCAAGGATCCTGTCGCAGGCCTCAAACACCATGGCAGTGAAGGACGGATCGGGCCCGCGGCCGGCAGCCCATACTGCCAATCGTTGCTTTCTGAACTGCCTAGAAACTAGCTTCAAACCTTGCTGTTTCCTGCCGTCAGCTCGGGTCCAAGGACCCTGTCGCAGGCCTCAAACACCATGGCAGTGAAGGAAGGATGGATCGGGCCGCGGCCGGCAGCCCGGGTCCAAGGACCCTGTCGCAGGCCTCAAACACCATGGCAGTGAAGGACGGATCGGGCCCGCGGCCGGCAGCCCATACTGCCAAACGTTGCTTTCTGAACTGCCTAGAAACTAGCTTCAAACCTTGCTTTTTCCTGCCGTCAGCTCGAGTCCAAGGACCCTGTCGCGCAGGCCTCAAACACCATGGCAGTGAAGGAAGGAACGGGCCCGCGGCCGGCAGCCCGGGTCCAAGGACCTTGTAAACACCATGGCAGTGAAGGACGGATCGCGCCCGCGGCCGGCTGCCCATACTGCCAAACGTTGCTTTCTGAACTGCCTAGAAACTAGCTTCAAACCTTGCTTTTTCGCGCCATCAGCTCGGGTCCAAGGACCCTGTCGCAGGCCTCAAACACCATGGCAGTGAAGGACGGATCGGGCCCGCGGCCGGCAGCCCATACTGCCAAACGTTGCTTTCTGAACTGCCTAGAAACTAGCTTCAAACCTTGCTTTTTCCTGCCGCCAGCTCGGGTCCAAGGACCCTGTCGCAGGCCTCAAACACCATGGCAGTGAAGGAAGGAACGGGCCCGCGGCCGGCAGCCCGGGTCCAAGGACCCTGTCGCAGGCCTCAAACACCATGGCAGTGAAGGACGGATCGGGCCCGCGGCCGGCAGCCCATACTGCCAAACGTTGCTTTCTGAACTGCCTAGAAACTAGCTTCAAACCTTGCTTTTTCCTGCCGTCAGCTCGAGTCCAAGGACCCTGTCGCAGGCACCCATAGTGCCAAACGTCCTGCGGGCGGCCGTGCTTGTCCAATTTTCTCTCTTCGCCCCTTGTTGCTAGTAAGGCCTCCTCTGACGCGCTCCCCCTGCTGACGGCAGGGGTCGGCGGATTTACCATTACGTAAAGCCACATCAATGTGGAAAAGCTGTGGTCTCCCCCAGAAGATGATCTACAAACGACGGACTTTTCATATGATAACTTACGAACAATGGTATACCTGATCCCTAACGAGAATTCCGCAAAAATACTAACAATAGAACCATGAGCAAAATTTTAGCAACAACAATAATGTTTTTTCATCATAATATCAACAATACTCAAAGAATGCCTAGCTGCAATAACAATTATTGACCCAGACCCTAATCCCAATATTGTAATAACGTGTGTAATGAGGCAACCACCCCAATATGGCCATAAATTGATGGCAACAATACACAATCCACAAATGCTCTGTTTAAAACATTGGGTTTACCACATTCGATCATATTTCTGATCAATTCCCTCATATCCCTACTTTTGTTTCTTCAAACGAAATGAATTCCAAGATTTTTTCGGTGAAACTCACCGTTTCACCGAGCATTTTTCCTTGAAACCCCTGGTGGATCTTCCTTCCGCAGGTGCCCGTGCTGCGGGGCCTGGGGTTGAAGCACGTAGGCTATGGGGTGCAGCCAGCCCACTATGCGCCGGGCCAAGTGGGCGGGGTGGTGTTTGGAATTTGACCCCCCCTGGGAATTGAAGATAACCATGGAAAATAATGGGACAAATCATGATTTTAATAGGTGACGATGTACATTGGTAATCTTAGCTATGTTCAAGTGCCAGAGGCTAGGCAACATGGCGGTGAATGATGGATTCAAGCAACACCTTATGGTGATATTTTCTTGGGATATCATTCGATATTTGATGTGATATATCACCAACACTGTCATAATCTGCCCAAACATGTGCAATGCCCAGAACTAGCAGTTTTTCATGGAATATCTGGAATTATGATGAATTATGATCACCCATCATATTTTGGACGTCCCATGAGGTGGTGGACGTCCACCGGTGATCACCGGTGCTTTGTTCGGCCGGTGCGGTGCGCATCGCTGAGGACGTGGTGGGGCAGGCCCTGATCGCCACTTTGCAGCTCTCTCTGGGGCGTCATTTCACGGAGCCGGTGACTGATCCAAATCGTGGGGCCCCGCGGCCTCGGTGTTTCTCAGTGTTCCATGGTATTCCGAATTGTATGATTTATATGGGTTGAAAGATGGTTGAAAGATGGTGAAATTTATATCTTTTGCATTCAAAAAGCATGTTGATGTGCACACACACATATATATATATATAGTTGTTGTGTAACCGTTGGTTCGCACACGCACACACACACAGGATATAGGTTTGAAGAAATCTATGCACATACACAACCTTATATAACAGTTGAATGGCTTACAACAGCTAGATAGTAGATAAGTTGATTGATATATCAAAACTCATACACCTTCACCACAAACATCCAGAAATTAAATTTTCAACCAACTTTCCTATCGGTTTGGGGGGTCTCGTACGTACCAAGAACATGGGAGACTTTGCCAACAAACAACTGGGATTTGAAACATGTTTCTCCAGCATGAAGACAGAATCATAATCTGTCTTGCTTGTTCTTGAGGATGCTTCTATATATATATATATCTAATATATATATATATTATATATCTAATATATATATATATTTATTATATATTTAATATAGAGGTAAATATTATATATCTAATATATATAATTATATATCTAATATATATAATTATATATCTAATATATATAATTATATATAATATATATAATTATATATCTAATATATATATATATATATCATGTATATATATATAGTACATACCGTTATTATAGAAGATATTCAGGAATTATCGGACAACCGATCTTCTATTTGAAACGGGTTTGGACGCGCGGAAAAATCCATTTCAAATAGAAGATAAATTAATTCAATGACCCAAAATGGTAGAACATCCGGGATGTTGGAGCTACTTTGGCACTCTCCGCAACCATGGCCCAGGGAGGGTCCAAACTAATATCTTCTATTTAAAAACCATTTAGACCAACACCAAAAGCACAAACTTGGTGGATCATCCAACCGAATATCTTCTATTTAAAAAATGGTTTGTCGCACAATCTTGTTCTGAAAATTTGGGGTTGGTATAATGAATATATTCTATTTGAAATGGTCTTTTCCGCTTCCCCATTGGTTGTTTGACAATATCTTCTATTTGAAAATGGTGTCGGCCAATCTTGTTTTGAGAATTTGGGATAATAATGCCAATATCTTTTATTTGAAAACGGGATTTCCTTTTTTGGGCTTGTGATGGAAACCTCTGGAAAATAATGCAACATCTTCTCTTTGAAAACGGGATTTCAGTTGTTTTTTTTGGCTTGTGATGGCAACCTCTGGAAAATAATATCAATATCTTCTATTTGAAAACGGAATTTCCGTGTTTTTTCTGGGCTTGTGATGGGAACCTCATTTGAAAACGGACGGGATTTCCGTGTCTTTTTGGGCTTTTCTGGAAAATAATGCCAATATCTTCTATTTGAAAACGGGATTTCCCTTTTTTTTGGCTTGTGATGGGAACCTCATTTGAAAACGGGATTTCCGTGTCTTTTTGGGCTTTTCTGGAAAATAATGCCAATATCTTCTATTTGAAAACGGGATTTCCATTTTTTTGGGCTTGTGATGGGAACCTCTGGAAAATAATGCCAATATCTTCAATTTGAAAACGGAATTTCCGTGTTTTTTTCTGGGCTTGTGATGGGAACCTCATTTGAAAACGGGATTTCCCCTTTTTTTGGGCTTGTGATGAGAACCTCTGGAAAATAATGCCAATATCTTCTATTTGAAAACGGGATTTCCCTTTTTTTGGGCTTGTGATGGGAACCTCTGGAAAATAATGCCAATAGCTTCTATTTGAAAACGGGATTTCCGTTGTTTATTTTGGCCTCTGATGGCAACCTCTGGAAAATAATATCAATATCTTCTATTTGAAAAGGGAATTTCCGTGTTTTTTCTGGGCTTGTGATGGGAACCTCATTTTAAAACGGGATTTCCGTGTCTTCTTAAGCTTTTCTGGAAAATAATGGCAGTATCTTCTATTTGAAAACGGGATTTCCCTTTTTTTGGGCTTGTGATGGGAACCTCTGGAAAATAATGCCAATATCTTCTATTTGAAAACGGGATTTCCCTTTTTTTAGGCTTGTGATGGGAACCTCTGGAAAATAATGCCAATATCTTCTATTTGAAAACGGGATTTCCGTTGTTGTTTTTGGCTTGTGATGGCAACCTCTGGAAAATAATATCAATATCTTCTATTTGAAAACGGAATTTCCGTGTTTTTTCTGGGCTTGTGATGGGAACCTCATTTGAAAACCGGATTTCCGTGTCTTTTTGGGCTTTTCTGGAAAATAATGCCAATATCTTCTATTTGAAAACGGGATTTCCCTTTTTTTGGGCTTGTGATGGGAACCTCTGGAAAACAATGCCAATATCTTCTATTTAAAAAGGGGATTTCCGTTGTTTTATTTGGCTTGTGATGGGAACCTCTGGAAAATAATGCCAATATCGTCTATTTGAAAACGGGATTTCCGTGTCTTTTTGGGCTTTTCTGGAAAATAATGCCAATATCTTCTATTTGAAAACGGGATTTCCCTTTTTTTGGGCTTGTGATGGGAACCTCTGGAAAATAATGCCAATATCTTCTATTTAAAAACGGAATTTCCGTTGTTTTATTTGGCTTGTGATGGCAACCTCTGGAAAATAATGCCAATATCGTCTATTTGAAAACGGGATTTCCGTGTCTTTCTTGGGCTTTTCTGGAAAATAATGCCAATATCTTCTATTTGAAAACGGGATTTCCCTTTTTTTGGGCTTGTGATGGGAACCTCTGGAAAATAATATCAATATCTTCTATTTGAAATCGGATTTTCCGTGTTTTTTCTGGACTTGCGATGGGAACCTCATTTGAAAACCGGATTTCCGTGTCTTTTTGGGCTTTTCTGGAAAATAATGCCAATATCTTCTATTTGAAAACGGGATTTCCCTTTTTTTGGGCTTGTGATGGGAACCCCTGGAAAATAATGCCAATATCTTCTATTTATATTTGAAAACGGGATTTCCGTTGTTCTATTTGGCTTGTGATGGCAACCTCTGGAAAATAGTGCCAATATCTTCTATTTTAAAACGGAATTTCCGTGTTTTTTCTGGGCTTGTGATGGGAACCTCATTTGAAAACGGGATTTCCGTGTCTTTTTGGGCTTTTCTGGAAAATAATGCCAATATCTTCTATTTGAAAACGGGATTTCCTTTTTTTTGGGCTTGTGATGGCAACCTCTGGAAATAATTTCAATATCTTCTATTTGGAAACGGAATTTCCGTGTTTTTTTCTGGGCTTGTGATGGGAACCTCATTTGAAAACGGGATTTCCGTGTCTTTTTAGGCTTTTCTGGAAAATAATGCCAATATCTTCTATTTGAAAACGGGATTTCCCTTTTTGGGCTTGTGATGGGAACCTCTGGAAAATAATGCCAATATCTTCTATTTGAAAACGGAATCTCCGTGTTTTTTCTGGGCTTGTGATGGGAACCTCATTTGAAAACGGACGGGATTTCCGTGTCTTTTTGGGCTTTTCTGGAAAATAATGCCAATATCTTCTATTTGAAAACGGGATTTCCCTTTTTTTGGGCTTGTGATGGGAACCTCTGGAAAATAATGCCAATATCTTCTATTTGAAAACGGGATTTCCGTTGTTCTATTTGGCTTGTGATGGCAACCTCTGGAAAATAATGCCAATATTGTCTATTTGACAACGGAATTTCCGTGTTTTTTTTGGGCTTGTGATGGGAACCTCATTTGAAAACGGACGGGATTTCCGTGTCTTTTTGGGCTTTTCTGGAAAATAATGCCAATATCTTCTATTTGCAAACGGGATTTTCCTTTTTTTGGGCTTGTGATGGGAACCTCTGGAAAATAATGCCAATATCTTCTATTTGAAAACGGGATAGAAGCGGGACCCGGCCGGAGGTACTTTTGCACTCCCCTCTTCGGGGGGTCACCCGGGTCTGGGCGTCAATGTTCTATTGATTTTATTTAAAAAAAATCCTGCAAAAAATCACAAAAAATTACAGTGGGACAAAAGATTTACAAATAGACGATATTGCAAACATCATCCCAATGTTGATGGTTGCAAAGTGCAAAAGTAGTTCAAAAGACCAACAATCCAACAGTAACCCCTTCAACATTGGGATGATCTTTGCAATATCTTCTATTTGAAAACTGCTTTTCATGCATTTGGGATCTGTCGAACTCATGGGGTTACAAATGAATATCTTCTATTTGAAAACAATTTGGTGGAACTCTCTGGGTTCCCTCATGAAATATTATCTTCTATTTGAAAAGTGTTTTTCAGTACTCCTCGAATATCTTCTATTTGAAAAATAAATAGCATATTAGATTATCTTCTATTTGAAAAGTGGTTTGAATCACCATCCCTCAATCAAAAAAGCTAAAGAACCCATGGTTTTTGAACAGTTTTTCACCGACCCCCCTCCCGAAGGCGAGAATGCCAAAGTACTTCCGGCCGGGTCCCACTTCGGGAGGTACTTTGGCACTCTCCTCTTCGGGGGGTCACCCAGGTCGGGCGTCAATGTTCTATTGATTTTAGATAATTTCCCTGCAAAAAACACAAAAAATGGCAGTGGGACAAAAGATTTTCAAATAGAAGATATTCCAAAGATCATCCCAATGTTGAGGGGTTTATTCTTGGATTTTTGGTCATTTGAACTACTTTTGCACTCTGCAATATCTTCTATTTGAAACGCGTTTGGCCGCACCCCCAAACAGCATCTTCTATTTGAAATAATTCCTGAATATCTTCTATCATAACGGTATATACTATATATATATATATATATCATGTATATATAAATATATATCATATATATAATACAATATAATAAAATATAATATAATATAATAAAATAAAATATAATATAATGTAATATAACATAATATGATATCATACCATATAATATAAAGTAATATATATATATATATGTAAATATATAATAAACCATAACATAACATAACAAAATACAATGTAATTTAATATAATGTATATAATATATCATGATATAATATAATATAATGTAATGTAATGTAATGTATTTAATATAAAATAATCTGATATAATGTAAAATAATATAATATAATTTAATTTTAATTTAATATAATATACTATAATATAATATAATCTAATATAATATAATATAAAAAATAATATAATATAATATGATATGATGTATATAATATAAAATAATATCATATGATATGATATGATATAAGATAAGACAAGATAGTATAATACAATTTAATAAAATATACTACAATGAAATATAATGTAATTTAATATAATACACTATAATATAATATAATATAATATGATATAATTTATTATAATATAATATAATATACTACAATATAACATAATTTAATACAATATAATATAATATAATATAATAAAATATAATATTATATAAGTTACTACAATACAATATAATATAAGATAATACAAGATAATATAAGATAGTATAATATAATACAATGTAATATAATCTAATGCCATATAATATAATATAATCTAGTTTGATATAATATAATATAATATGATATAATATAATCTCATGTAATACAATATAATATAATATAATCTAATTTAGTACTATATAATATTATTTGATATAATATAATATGATATGATATGATATAATATAATATGATAATATAATACAATATAATATAATATAATATAATATAATATAATATAATATAATATAATAATACAATGTAATATGTGTATATATATATCATAGTATGTATGTATTATATACTTTGATACAGTTTTGGTCCCACATCCATGGCAGAAATGATCTCGCTGGTGCCACCGGAATCCAACCTATCCACTGAGCATCCCAGCTTCATGCATATGGAAGATACCACCTGTGGGCTTTGCAGCGTGTACCGAGGTGAAAAATGCCTATCTGAAAGTTTGGACAGTGATCAAAGCGAATATGATCTGCGACAACTACCAGACATGAGAAGTCCGGGCCCGGCTTGCCGTGGCGGTTGGACCACAAGGTTGGGCCATGGAGGTTGGAATCCCCAACCAACGTGGTGCATGGATTTCGATGGGTAAAAGAAGACCCTTTCAGATAGTCCAAATTCGACTTCATAGATATATATCGTATATTATATTATATTATATTATATTATAGTATTAATGATAGACTATATTTTAATATCCTATATTATATGATATTATATAATAGACTCATAGACATGCTGGACCACTCAGCGCACCAACTCAACCCTGGGCGTGATAATTCAACCGCTGATCGCATAGATGCACTTGATCGTTGTTCGGTTCTCTGGGGTGCCATGATGGTTGCCGCGACTGTGGGTATGGGTCAATATTTAAGACCCAGGCGACCGTAGCTGGTGGTTGGCATGCGGGATTCTGTCGGCCAAGTCCGAGTCGCTGCTCGAATCCCCCAAAGATCAAGTATTCCTGTCCTTCATTTGATACTAATACCATGTAATACCAATCTCTTAGGTTCAGCATAGTGGTGGCACCCTGTCGAGAACGTGTCATCCCACGGTGAGTGCGGGGAGATGCAGCCGAAGGGGCACCAAGTAGGAAATTGCCCAAGGGGCCGAAGTTGGCGAAGTTGGGAAGAATTTGAATGAGCAACTGACACATACTGACACATACTGACACTATCATGAGTTCTTAACTTTCAACGCCGATGGACAGAATGGATATTGGTGGATGAACAGGAGACCGCAATTTCATACTAATCCATGGATCCATGAGCCACAAAATTGGACCGATTGTGGCGCACACAACCAAATTCAAGAAGAACTCAGAAGACTGAATCACTTTTATGTTCACATATGTTCAGTGTTTTTGGACAACTGTGGTGCACCCAGTGAAAGCAAACTTACTTGGCACAGATGTCTTTCCACTGTTTCGTACTCTGGAACTTGGTTCATTTCACAAGGAAATCAAACCCTTTCGGCCCATAACCTCCACTTGTGGATAGCTAGTTCTTCTTGGGGATGGTACCTGTAAAATTCACCATATCTCCAACAATTCAAATCCGAGGTTTGCGTTTCACATGGATCAAGATTTGCTGTGTATCATGGTAGTGCCACCTTTGACTTTTCAAGGCTTGCCTCGCAAGTCCTTGAGTCCTCGAATGCTGTGTAGCTGTAGCTGGATAGGTTGTCACGCGTGTCGCGTGTCACACCCGCCGAATGGTGGGGCCGAGTGGCAAGTGGCGCGGCGGACAAGCGGAGAGGGCTTGGTGGCGCAGTTGCACTGCTGAGTGAAGAACCGCAATTCTCTGGTTGAAAAACTGGGGAGTTTTTTCGCGGAAAATGGTTGATTTGGATGTCCTTCTGATGTCCGATTCCAGGCAAACCTTGATCCACCCCAGCAATCGTTCAATAAGGGGGTTCATTCACTTGTTTGGAGCTAATGAGAAATAGCCAGGAGATGTCGCCCAAACGGTAGAGAGTTGGGAGGGGTAATCCTTCCAACCTCAAGAACTTCACTCATGGAATGTCAACTGCCTCCGATCCCCACCAGCATTGCGCGATTCCAAAAAAGCCTGGGAACGGAGGGCGTCAGCACGAGGTCCTCATTTGAAAGGATGATATAGGATGATGGGGTTTGGGAGAGTATGGCAGTAAGGGTAACTATCCGTAACTATCCATAAGTATCCCTAAATTATATAGCTTTGTAGCTTTATGCTTAATTTAGCTTTGAATCATTATGATCATCCCATTGGAACGCATCGTGTGACAAGAAACATCAAGACAGTGGCTTCTTCGGGCATTTCCATCGCCTGCATTTCTAGAACCATCTAGAACCTGGATTTGTTGCTCATGACCTTAAAAAAAAATGTTCTAGATTTCTAGAATTCTAGAAGTTTCTAAAACCTGGATTACCAATCAGTTTACCCACATTAAACATGGATTACCCACATTAAATGATCGTTTTCCCATTGATCCATTGGAAAAACGCGACCAAGGCTGTCCCGGTGCTGGAGAGTGGCTCCTTAGAGGCCGGACATCCCAAAAAAGATTGATAATTTCAGGTCAGGTCAAGTCCTTTCTTATTGTAATATATGTATATGTATATATATATGTTGTACTACACAACTATTTTTTTAAACTTATATTATTGTGAATCATCCAATCTTAGGTTATTTGGACCCACCGCAGTTGGTTTGTACCCGTTGACCTGTTGATCCAGGGTGATTTTTTTGCCATCTCAACATGACCGGAGTTTTCGGGTAGCTTCACCTTTTGATTTATACATGATCTAGCAATAAATGGGGGTTTCCATAAATGGGGGTACCCTACAATGGATGGTTTATAATGGAAAATTCTATATTAACATGGATGACTTAGGGGTACCCCCATTTTAGGACATCTCCAAATGAAGTAATACGACAATGTTGCTAAAGACCAGCTTTTTCTAAGGATATCTGAATTGTTCGAGTTCTTAGGCATGATTCATAGGGGAAGTTCCCCAAAATGGCATCTACAGCCCCTGACAGGAGAGCAACCAGTGTGTCTGGTCGCCAGGCGAGAAATCTCCGTTCTGAAAAGATCTGTGAACAAAAAGCTACCAGCTGTGCGTGGATTCCCCTTGATCAATATTGTGATGATGATGATGATGATGACGATGATGGTGGTGGTGGTGGTGGTGAATGGTGCATGGTGCATGGTGAATGGTGAATGGTGAATGGTGAATGGTGATGATGATGATGATGATGATGATGGTCATGGTGATGGTCATGATGATGGTCATGGTGATGGTCATGGTGATGGTGATGGTCATGGTGATGGTGATGGTGATGATGATGATGATGATGATGATGATTCTTCTGCTTCTTCTTCTTCTTCATCTTCTTCATCTTATTCTTATTATTCTTATTATTTTGGATGTTCGTTGTTTCCAAGTAGGTGGTTGGATTTTTCCAAGTGGCAGTTCATGGTTTGTTACGGGGGAATTGAAAACTGCTAGTGGGGAATTTGATCCCTCATTTTCGGAAAGACTCGTCCCCATCCAGGGATGATCTTCCGGTTGAGCCGGTGAGATGGACTCTTTGAGCCCAGAAGATCGGAGTGGCCTTGCAACTCAACATCATTCAACACCTACTCCAATGACTAAGGACACTATTTGCTGTTGGTCAACCGCTAGCTGCAAAGTTCGATCACCTCCTTCCAAACTTAGGACTACCCCAATGACCCCCAACAGCCATCCTGAGTTCCCAAGCCTCCCAGACTGGCCGCGAAACTTTAAAGATGACAGCGCAATCCTCAGTTGTGTTGGTTGTGGTTGAAGCAACATGGGTATGGATCAATACCTATTAATACCATTTTTAGGGGGATGAACATCCATTTACCAGCTATTTTGATGTTCACCAGGGGTACAAGGTTTTGACACACTGCCACATGTGGAACTGCAGCGCTTGTATGAGCCTTGGATATCCTTCAACGTTCCCTACACCACAATTTGGAGCAACTGTTTCCCCATTCACCCTATGATACCCCTCGAAGATACAGTGGGCTTGCAATGATGGGGCCTTGCTGCTTATCAACGGAGTCATCCGCAATGAACCGCACCAAATGCACCAAAAATCGCTTAGACTGGTGAGGGGATGAATTTCAGCGCTGGTATCCTCATAATTCCAATCAACTGTTGGTTCTTTCCATTTACGAGTAGTGATAGCAACCCCCAAAAGATGGAATTTGGATGAATTTGGTCAAATCTCACCAAAAATTCTGTGGTTACTGGACCTATCTATACCTAAAATTTCTGGTACATGTCCTTTTTTTGCATCCTTTTGGGAGGGTTGCCCTTGGTAAAACTGAGGCGGCCTCAGATGGAGCACTTGGGCCCATGATGCGCGAGGCCGCCTCCCCACTTCTACTGATTGTAATCCTTCTGTATTGTATACATACATACATACATACATACATACATACATACATACATACATATATAGCTATATATAAAATATAATATGCATGTGTGAAACCAACTGATATATATAGTAGTGTATGTTGGGTGTACCTGCAGTATCAGGCCAGAAAACCACCAAAACAAAGAGTTTTCTCCAGCCACCAGGTTTATTAGCAGTTCTATTTTTAGAGACGTGCGCCCTTTTCGGTTGTCACTCAGCAAAGCTGGTACCAGGCATCGGGGACCTGCACAGTGACCAACCCATCGACCCATCGTTTGCGCAGATTCCACCCTTTGGTTTTTCACAGTGGTGGACCTCTTTCTTTGGAATTTAGACTCAATTCTCTTCCAAGTTGTTTTTGACGGACCACAATCTTGGTATGACGCTGGTGATATATATATACATACGTATATATATATACATACATATACAGACCACATCCCATAAAATATCCCTATTGACTATTATATTCATTGGTTAAATCACCATTTGGTCAAACCATCATTTTAAACCATTTTTGTTGGTCAAATCCCATAAACCCACCATGTTTGATTGTTTGATCCTCATTTTCAGACACATCTTGATGTTATATTCGCAAGGTCTGGAGGAAGGGCCTTTGGTGAAGCCGGACCTCCTTTCTGAACCTTGGCGATACGTATACACAGATACATACAACAGTCCACACATACATCATATGATATATATATACACATTTATTCAACAGGCACGATGAAGCTTTCCGCTATATATATACACATGTATATATATATATACATATGTATATATATATACTTTGTATATATATATATCCATACTACATACATACATACGGATATGTATATATTTACACAATATACATATGTACCACATACATATTCATATACAGATGATATGTAAACACGCCCATCAGATTTGACCCCATCCCCATCGCAAGTGGTGCAGCTTTCCTGAGGACACAGCCATGGCCTTACCCATGAGTCGGGGGCCCCTGTTTGTTGATGATTGGTCCATAAACTCAGAATCCCGTTCTTCAGGCAGGATTGAATAGAATGATATATGCTTTGAAAGACTGCACAAATTTGGCTTTGATTGCAAACAGAAGTCCATAGTCACCATAGTCACCATAGTCCATGTGAACGTCGTGTGATGGAAGCCCGTGGCTATTCAGAACGACCATCAGCTCGTCCCTCGAAATCGGGTGCGTTCCCAGGCACCATGACCTCCGGAAAGCGGAAGACCTATGCGAATCGGAGCATGTTTCAGGACTGAAAAGGGGCACCAGACACGGCATCACCTGCATGGCCTTGAGAAAAATCGGCCCAGAAAGGACTTCTCCGACATATCCGACATATCCATTCTATGTCTTGTTGGGTGTCTTCGCCATACCATGGGTATAGCGACTCATATGGTGTCTTGACATTCCCAACACATAGAGATAGGATGGAGTCATGGCGCAGAAGATGTGATTCAGCACTCGTAAACAGCTTCAGATTCAGCATGCCGAGAAAATCCAATCTAGTGACCATGTGATTTCACGAGGAATTTCCAACCAAACAAAACCGGACACAGGCGCACGTGTGCTGTGTGATGGACCCTGAACAAGTTCCGAAGGCTGGGGTCGCTAAGGAAAGGTGTGGTGAAGGTCAGCAGTAGATGCCTCGAAATCCCCAAATTCCAAGATTTTGGTCATTTTTGGTCCTTGGGATGTTGGAGTCTGTTGGAGTCTGTTGGAGTTCCGTATCAAACGATTGACGCATCTTTTTCACCTCCGCTGAGATCATGGAATCCCTGCAGAAGAGCCCGCATTTGTCGTCCGCCCGCAGTTGGCCCCATGCGCCCGGAGACCCGAACTGGGAGGCTTCCATGAGTTGTTCTGTGACGTGAGAAATCGTGAGAATGTTTTTTTTTTGATTCAAGTTTCGTTTAAGAATCAAGCAAAACAACTGTTTGCTCATATGGGCCATATGGGTTTCGAAAAAAGACCATAGCCACAGCCGTAACCAAGTAATCAAGTAGTTGTCCTACGTTTTTTTCGTCCTTGAGAAAGGACTCTATGAGTGGTTCTTCCAATGCGAACATCAGCGTACGATGTGTTCTACTGGTCAAGGAAAAACACACCCTAAAACCATGCTGATGTCCAGACTAGACCAAATCGTCCGCTTTTCCATCAATGGGAATTTGCCGGTCCCAACATCCTGAAGTTTTTCGACCACGAATCCCCAGATAATTTCTATATATTTCCACTGGGAACCCAATCTCCTTTTTTTCCGTAGGTTTCATCATGTTCAGTGATACGTATCCCACGTACCAGTGAAGATTTGAATGCAAAAAGGACCGATTTTGGCAAATGTTTGGTAGGTAGAAAAGTAAACATGTATTTAAACTGTCTGTATATCGATAGTATTGATTGATCTTTTATATAGTTAAGGGTATCCAAGTTTGACCCACAGCATACATTGGCAGGTCCCCCCACAGTCGCCTTTTCTGCCCTGGTGAGGTGTCGGATCCTTTCGCCCTTTGATGGACAGGTGCCATCTTGGGCTCTCCTTTTGTTGATGCTGGGGATTTTTTAAATGCTGGTTTTGGTGATAGTTGATGATGAAGATGAAGATGAAGAAGAAGAAGAAGATGAAGAAAAAGATGATGATGCTGATGATGATGTCTTTGTGATGATGATGATGATGATGATGATGATGATGAGAAAGAAGAGCATCAATTTTTCATGATGAACATATGACCAAGACCTTTTTCCGCAGCGCAGTTCTCCTCGCAGGTGCACGTCTGTAGCGAGGACGATGAGGACCCCGGTGCGGGCGAGAAGATCTTAGGGTCCGGGCCGCAAGATCCATGGGGATCACACGAATTCTGCTGGAAAACCCACCATGGGGGGCCTTGAAACCATAGTGAAACCATCCCACTGAGACGACCAAGGCTACTGGAAAGAATGGGTCTGGAGAATCTGCTCTTGGTCGTCTCCCACTGGAATTCAGGTGCGAACATGGGGAAGCTGCGACATCCCAGTCTCGTGCATTTCAGCTTTCAGTGTTTGAACAGTTTCTTGGAAAACATGAGATGGAACAGAATTTGTTCGGAAGCAATTTTGAGATGCTCAAAGATCATTTGGTTTTCCCAACTAGGATCCCCACTTGCAGGTTTTCGAATTGTCATTGGTTTTAAACATACCCAACATGCCATGGCGCGAGGTGGGGTGAACCGATTGGGCACGGAGCTCTTCAAGCGGGGAACCTCGAAAGAGTTGAAGCGGAAGAGTCAATTTTTGGGTCCCCCCCAGCCTCACCTTTGAATCATTTTTATGGCTATATAGCTAATGGCTATAAATTGGTTATACCTAATACCTTAATTACTTTATACCGACCCAATTTTTTAAAGATCATTTTTACTAATCTAGGGATTACTTGCAGAGAGAAACCTGGATTGATTTGACGATGGCAGTGGGGCCCCTGTGTTTTCATTGGATCACCGAGCAACCACGGCGTTGATGGTCATTGGGGGGCGCACCCAAGACATATTGGGGCTGATGCTAGATTTTGCACCCCTCCCCAACTTTTGCAATCTCAAACATAACTTATATATATACAGTATATATGTATATATGTATATATGTATATATGTATATGTGTATATATGTATATATGTATATATGTATATATGTATATATGTATATATGTATATATGTATATATGTATATGTGTATATATGTATATATGTATATGTGCACACCTACGCTGCTGCTGATGATGATGCTGATGATGAATGGGAAATTCCGGTTGCCTGCAGATTTCCCTGAAATCACCCATCTTTGCACCAACAATTCCCAGTGCTGTCGCCAAGCGAGGTGTGTGACGGAGCAGTGCAAGGAACTGCTGAAGGAACTGCAAGAGGTGACCCTGGTTCGCTAGTGGATATTTCGCAGGGTCTAGTGGCTGATTTTGAGACGAAAAAAGCTTGAACCAACCGGCAATTTTTGGGGTTTAGGCAGCAAGAATTGGTTTCTGGATCTCTGAGGTCAGGAAGAACCCATAATGGTGCGGCTGGACTTCCATCCCAGTGAACAATGAGACTATACATGGTTAAATAGATGCATGTATTATATAAATTACATTACATTACATTGCATTCATTACATTACATTACGTTAGATTGCATTACGTTGCATTACATTGCATTCCACTACATTCCACCACATTCCACTACAGTACATTACATCACAGTACATTACATCACATACACCCATATATACATATATCATATATATATAGATATGACATATCTGAACATATCTGAACATATCTGAACATATCTGAACATATCTGAACATATTTGAACATATATATATATATGTATCATACATACATACATACATCCATCCATACATTCATACATACATACAAACATACAAACATACAAACATACAAACATACAAACATACAAACATACAAACATACAAACAAACAAACAAACATACATACATACATACATGCATACATGCATACATGCATACATGCATACATGCATACATGCATACATGCATACATGCATACATGCATACATGCATACATGCATACATGCATCCATCCATCCATCCATGCATACATACATACATACATACATACATACAGACAGACAGACAGACATACATACATACATACATACAAACATCATATCATACCATATCATATCATATCATGTCATATCATATCATATCACATCATATCATACATATCATACATATCATACATATCATACATATCATACATATCATACATATCATACATATCATACATATCATACACATCATACACATCATACACATCATGCATATCATACATATCATACATGCATATATATAATATGATATAATATAATATGATATGATATGATATAATATAATATGATATAATGAAATATAATATAATATAATATATTATAATGTCTATATAGACAATATAAATTATATTGTGTATGTATATATATATGATACTGTATATGATATATGTATATATTTATATATGATGTATATACATTTATCTTTCTATATGATATACATATGATATGCACTATATTTACACATTGAAGACTTGGCTCTAACCATGGCCATCCCTACAGAAGATGCCACTCCCGGATCTTTCTTTCCAGGCGCTGCGTGCCTCCTTTCCTCCCGAGGAGCTGCTCCTGAGGCGGGGTTGAAATGGCGACATGGCGGCTATGGGGCAAAAAGGTAAGGACCTGGCGAACCATTATGAACCATCTAAGTATGAATATATCATATATATATATATCATATATATATACACACCATATTTATATATATATCGTATACCTGGGGAACATCAAATAGGGAATTGGAGTATATAACTGCTGATAGAACTGAACCATCTAATAGAAAGATAGAAATGACCCATCCAATTTTCATAGACAACCTGGTTAATATGAACCATTCATGGATATGATTGGACTGTGTATCCCCATAATAAAGAACCAAAAATGGTTCCCGACAAAACACCTAAATGGCAGGTTTATCATTCATTATTGGGTAAAAATTGTGAAGATGTTGGGGATGTTTATCTTTAGTAATGTGATAAACCAAATGCCATAAACCATCCCCAAAATCTCCATGAATGGATTGTAAGTATCATCCGCAAATGGTAGGTTCATGGCATTGGGCTTGCTTTTGATGTATTCGTTTGGTCAACAGGTGGTGATTGTTTGGGATCCAACGTGTAGATGAGGTGGAAAAAACACATGCAGTGGTTGGAACTGCATGCTGACCAGCTGAATCGTGTCTACTAGCTATGATAAAACAAGCTGCAGAGGTAAGTGAGATGTGACCCTAATTATGTTGCTTGAATTCCTAATTGATGTTGGTTGAATCAGCAGAATTTTTGATGATAAGTGGCCTCCTTTTTTCGTGTACTTCTATCCTCATCTTTCTGCCAACGTTTCCACATGTCGCAGGTCGGATGCTGAAGAACAGCCTTTGGAGGTGCTTGGAGTTGGGCCTATCCTCTGGTTATGACTAACATAGCCATGGTATAGATGGCCCATAGAAATAGAGGTTTACATCTTAAAAATGGTGGATCTTTCCATGGCTACGTTAGTCATAACCAGATGGTACCACATTAGATTTACAATAAATTGGTCAAACATCTACATTTTTACATGATACATAGATGCAAAATCCGGTACCCATGGTCCCCGAATTTGATGATTACTCACTATATGTTCCCGATGAAATACCCAACTTTCAGAGACACCCCAATCTGCCCGGCACCGTCACCACATTAGTTTTTAGTAAGGAAATCATCTCTCAGTTGCCTTATTTCAGCTTCACCAATCATCATATAAATATTCATTATAAACCCATCTAACCATAGATAGATCCATCATAGTCCACGGTTCACCCAGGTGTAATGGCTTATCCAGCCAAATGGCTAACTATAGGTATATCGACATAAATATGAACTAGTTTTAAGTTTTAATGATTCCATATATATATATATATAGATATAGATATAGATAGATAGATCGATCGATCGATAGATAGATAGATAGATAGATATAATATAACTATATGCTGACGTGTAGGTACTCAGTGTACTGCACATCGCTTTCGAAAAAAACATGTAAAAACACATATAACTATAATCTATCATAACACATATATCACCTACAAAACACGTATAACATATATAATGTTTGTTGCTTATTCAGGCAACCATTTTTTTCTCCATTGTCATGGCTACGAAAGGGTGACCTCATGGTCCGTCCGCAGGATGGCCCGACGCCGAATGGAAGTGGTGAGCCAGGGGGGGTTCGCTGGTGAGCGGAAGATGATGGTTAGCCTCTGGTAAACTAACGTAACTATGGAAAATCACCATTTTCAATGGGTAAATCAACTATTTCTATGGTCATTTTCAATAGCAAAGTGTTAAATTACCAGAGGGTAAATGGTGATACAATTTCACTGAATATACCTCAATATGGGAGATACAAGCAATAATATCATGGCCTTGTCTGCAAATCGTAGATTCAGCCCTAACAGTGTTTTTTTTTTGGGGGGGAAGAGCTGATTAACCGCTGGATTTTAGGTACCCGGATTTTCAGACAAACCCAATGGAATCTTTGAATTACGGGCAATTCTTGCTGTCCTACCCTAGGCCCTAGTTCATTTCTTTTTGTCGGGAAGCATGAATTCATTGTGAGCGCTATTTTGGGAGCTGTTTTGAAGCTGCCCTTGGGGTCCTTCCAAGCACCACGGAAATCGTAGATATAAATCTAGAAATTGGAGTTGTGCCATTCATCAGGTGGCTAAGAAAGATGTACAGTGCATCTCAGCCTCTACCTCCTGCAACTATCTGTTTTCATCCCAGAAACAACATTTTTTTTGTTGCAGGGGCCCGTCCAGGATCAGCCATGTTTTGGTGTGTTCAATCCCAACTGTTTTCCCAGAAGTTTTTCAGGGTAGAAAATCCCATCTGTCAAAATACTCATGTGGCGATGGATTAAGACCTAATAAAAAACCATCTGTGGTGGGGATGAATATTCACATAAAAATCATTTACCAGCTATTTATTCAAATGTATTTTTCAGGTAGCCCTAAAAAATCCTCAAAAATCCCCAAAAATCCAACCAAAGATGTCACTTTTTGGCATTTTCCAAGCGAGGTATCGAGTCAACCAGCGACCTCCCGGAGCTCTGGGATGATGCCACCAGTTGGCACGTGGATGTTGGCGCCATCGGTGCCACGCCGCCTGCCGAGTTGATGCATGCGGCTTGGCGGCTTCGCCTGGAACGGATAACATGGAAATTTAACGTAGTTGGAGAAGGGGGGTTGGAATGCGAATTCTGGTAGTAGCTGGAGAATTAGTGACATGTATATATATAGATACTGTATATATATAGTATATATATAGTATATATATATAGTATATATATAGTATATATATAGTATATATATATATAGTTGAACGTATATGAATGTACATATCATGGTATATCCAATGCATGAGGGTTACAAGATGTTTGTTGCCAAACAAACGCGACTGGGATGAACATCCAAGTCATCCAAGTACTTGATGGTTTTTATCGGATTTTTTGTTTCCATCACAGCCCTGATATCTCAGATGGATTTCCGACTCAGCTTGGTTAGGTGGTTAGCCTGAGATGTGGGGTGGATGGAGTGGCTTCAGCTGTGACAAAAACTGGCTTCCACATGGCCCGATCATCATGGGTGCTTCTTTTAGCTTGGATGGTACCACCCCAAGCACTAGACCGTTGGTGATATGATGTGATATGTGTGTATCACATCCCAGACTTCTCTTGGTTGCTAGAATAATTTCCACTGTTGTTGGTTTCATCCCCATGATGAGAGTAGGGCAAACCCAAACAGCAACCCGCAGTTTTATCAGCAATGGGTTGTATAAAAAATCACCAATTGCAGGTTTATGGCATTCTCTCAATCCCAGATGGTGAGGCCAGCCGCGGAGTGGGCATCCAATCTAGGCTGGTGGGGGAGGCAGTTTTTTTCATGATGGTTCCTGCGGAATGTTGGCGGTTCCCCTTTTGCAAGTGTCTCAAATACAGTGAAACCAACCTAAAATGGAGGATGCGCTTCTTCATTCTCGGACACAGACGTGGAGCAGTCAGATTTTGCAGTGCATAGGGGGCCAATGGACACCCAAAATTGATGATTTTGAGTACCAGACCATTTGCCCCACAGATATCCTGCCACTTTGATCCAGTTTCATTGTCAGAGACATCTTCAACAAATAGGTAAATCTCCATCTTCAAATTGGTTGATGATCGATTAATGTTTGAATATTATATAATTGATTAGTATAATGAATCTCAATATTATAGAATTTATTTATCTACTTTCCGATGATCTACTTCACCAACCCCAGCTTTTCTAGCTCCCAGATTGACAAAAATGGCTTTCTCCCAGCTGCTCCAGTCGACGTACCTGGCCAAAGAGTAGCGCGCCATCGTCAAGCAGTGACTGGGCAAGATCAGCGGGTGATGAGCTAAACAAAAATAGGGAGTTGGCCAATCAACAGGTGCATGGGACCTAGCCATACCTAGCCAAAAGATTGGTTTGTCCCAAAAAAGGGGGGGTTTTGGCCATAAAAAATGGCCATTTCAATTGGAACAATGATGATGAACCATGGGATTCTTTGGGGCATCCTCTTTTCAGACACACCCATTATGCCCAGGAACAGGGGCGGAGCCACCTGTGGTGTGCGGGCCCAGGGGTGGGGCTCCTGCCAAAGGATTAAAACATGTTTCCCTTTGAATGTTTCCATTTAGATGGCGATTGTGAATAAGTGTAAAGAGTAGATATCATTATATCATCGCTTTTTGGGATAGATCCGGGTTGAAGGATCAAAAACTTGTTCCTTAAACCAGATAAGGCACGGATTGTGTTTGGTGCCCAAGTCTTGAACATTTGGGGTGGATGACCATCCCTGCAGCCAAGTCCTCCAATGGCAGAGATGGTTATCCCCCGTCGGATCAAGTCTAGGCATGTCTAGGCCATTTCAAAGAGAAGCAATGCCGAAGCATCTTCGGAGATCGCCAGAGATCGCCAGATGTCGCATTTTCGTTCAGGGTGAAGTTCAGCAGAAACTGGCTCTCGGGTTCAGCAGTCAGCAGAAACATCAAACCTCATGGGATGCCAAGTGACTTCCACTGTCAGGTGGGACGATCCTGCTTTAGAGCGTCCTGGCGGCAGGGCGGAAAAGGGTGGAAGGGAATCCTCAAATGCACCGTTACGATATGGCTAGCCAATTAGAAAGCTATTTTGGATGGACAAAAAGCCTGCACCAGTTGGTAACTATAGGTCAAATGAAACACTATAAATAATGTGATTAACATGGGATAAATATGGATAAATAATCTATCAACTGGTGCAGGATTTCTTCCATCCACAATATTTTGAATAGGTACATAATCCGTCACAATCCTCCATTGTATGGGTAGAACTTCCAAGATCAGCAGGAAAATCGCATTCTGCGTGGACAAAGCACCCTCTGAAGGGCACATTTAGTCATCTCACAGTGGGGATGTGCCAAAACCTGCAACAGCATAGTAGGGATGAACAGATGAACATCCATAAATCCAGGCTAAGTTGTGAACGAAGGGTACTGATCCGGTGACTTGACCCATAGCCAGAGCATTTGGTTGCATGATCAACAAATCCCCCAGGTGTCTCGCTTTTTTGGGTGGTTAAAATCAAAGTTCCTAGCTTCAAGCCCATATTGGTGGTAAGTGCTCGCAAATTCCCAATCTCTGTGTCATTAATCCATACATTCCATGTCCAAGTTGAGGCCGGGCGTGCAGATGCCATGGCTACGGAACATGGTCGGGTTGGCCCGATGGGTCCTGCATGGGGATTGATGAGGATTTCGGATTTTCCAAATGGTTAATCCACCATGTGGATCCATGTGGGGCATCTGGGGATTGTTTATGATTGTTTAGGCCCTGAAGCAAATCCAAGTAGCCCGTGAAATTTTGAGATACAACTTGTATCATCTGGGATTCTTCACTGAAGTAATAAGCTGGTGAGTAAGGCTTTAAGGGCGTGTCATCCGTCACAACCAGGATATGATGTGATATACCCTTAGTAAAGTCCCAACATATCCATTCACATAAAAAGGATACCACCCTGCCAAAGGGTCTTTGACTTACGCCTAGAATCCAGACATTATGATTGCATCACGGAGGTCGAAGTCACTGTTTTTTAGTTTATCGTACTTCAAATCCCATCAAGACGTTCGGTTTCTACTGGAGTCCCATCTGTGGGTGTCATAGCTGGAGCAAGAGATTTGGCATTCCTGAAGCTAAACTTGACCTTGTTGTTTCTTTTGGCTCCTCAACTTCTTGCTACTCACCCCGCAGAATGATTCCCAGGAACTTAGTATATAGATTCTTTTCATTGTTATGTTCTTTTTTCCTCGCACATGACGAGGGTACATATCAAACTATTGACCCCAAGAATGGATCTACACATGAATGATTTAATACTACAAAATGACAGCTCTTGTAGGCCAATTGGTGCCCATTTTTGACCCATACCTATCTCAGCGCTGTGGGTTTCCGTTAAGGGAGTGTTGCCAGCACCAGCACAGAACGGACCAGCAAATTTCATGAGGCAGGGCTGAGTTGAAGGAAGGAAGCCAGTAATTCGGTTTGTGGGTTCCTCCAGAAATGGAGTATACCCAAAAGTTGTTATTTCAACGGGAAGAATGATTATGCATAAATCGTACGATTTGCGGGACACATGATACCACCATTTTTCAACACACGGATATTTTGGATAAACCTTGCTTGATTTGGTAGGTTACTTTGCTTCAAACATAATACAGTAAATAAAATGGGGGGGAGTATACTATCCAGATCATTTTTGTTGAATATCATTGGCCATGCTGAATACAACCGCAACTTTCAGAGGCTGCTCCAGCTGCTTATCATACTTTGCCAGGAAGTTGAAATCATTCATTGAAAGCCAGAAAAGAGGTGGAACCAATGACGTTCCATCTATCCTTGAGCAAATTCCGCCAAGGTGATTCAAAGAATCCTGGCGATTCATGAGGAAATCATCCACGGCAATGGACAACAACTGTGCATTTTCCAGCATGGTTAGATTTGGTTAGATGATCAACCAGTGACCTTGTCGACTACACATACACAATTTACCCACAAAGCATGTACTTTTACCATCTTTTACCACTATCTGCACTATCTATGGGTAAATTCCGTTGGAGTCAGCAGTTATCACCACGCTTGGTGTCTCATTCGATTGGAGTGGGATTCTTTGCCAAGGCCTCGCAGACCTTCATGACGGAGGGTGACATCCCTGTGCCTTGGACCATGGGCTTTTTCCAGTCCGAACATGGTCGACATTTCTGACGGCTTTTCCATATCTATGTTGATGTACTGCTCGTATTTCCCATGATGTCTCATTTTTTTCCCATAACATGGTTGGTTTTTACATATATATATATATGTATATATATATACTGTATATATATATTTATATCCACAAATTGTTGATTTACTGGAGGGTACACAGCCAAAGACAAGAGCTGCATGCAGTTCCTGAACGTTTTAGAGCGGGTCTTCGTGGGACCCGACCCCCAAAAAAGGAATTTTCCCTTCCTCTTTTGATTCTTTCCTGCTGTCCTTTCCCTCCCAGTTTGGCACTTCCCCTTTTCATCAGGATTTTGCCGAAACCCAAAGCAAGTTGAGGTTGGTCATTTCTTGAACCATCCATTGTTCTTGGGTCCTAAGTTTATAATTAGTACTGACTGATGCCCGGTAATTTTTGGGTGTTCCTCTACCCCAAACCCATTGGTTTTCCGATGAACACATACCAGTAGTACCGCACAAGGCGGTGGCGGAAGTTTCAGAATAGGAAACCTATAGGAGAGCTTGGTTGTTGTGAATCACGAATGGCAGAGCGAATCCACTGATGGACTGAAAGGTGGTTGGAGTTGTGTTTTTTGGAGTGGTTACAGTGGTTGCAATGGTCACTTGGTCGGTCACCTCACCCACAACTGCTGTGTAGTGTGGTGTAGTGCAGCTGTAGTTGTAGTGGTAGTGTAGTTGAGTTGTAGTTGCGGTGTAGTGTAATTAGTCTAGTGTAGTTGCAGTTGCATTTGTGGTGGTGTAATGAGTGTAGTGTAATGTAATGTAGGATGGTGTAGTAGTGTAGTCTGGAGTAGTGTAGTGTACAGTAGCGTAGTTGTAGTCGTAGCTGTAGTTGTAGTTAGTGTAGTGTAGTGTACTGTGGCGTGGTGTGGTGTAGTGTGGTGTAGTGTAGTGTCATGTAATGTAATTAGTGTAGTGTAGTGTCGTGTCGTGTAGTGTAGTGTAGTGTAGTGTTATGTAGTGTAGTTGTAGTTGTGGTTGTAATTGTAATTGTAGTTGTAGTGTAGTTGAGTGCAGTAAAGTGTAGTGTAGTGTAGTGTATTGTAGTGTAGTGCAATGTAATTAGTGTAGTGTAATGTAATTAGTGTAGTGTAGTGTGATGTAGTGTAGTTGTAGTTGTAGATGCAGTCGTAGTCGTAGTCGTACTTGTAGTTGTAGTGTAGTGGGGCGGAGTGGAGCGGAGAGGAGTGGGGTGTGTGTAGTGGTGGTTGTGGTTGAGACTGCTACAAAACTCCACGTTGTGCTCACTTTTGACAAGGTGCACAGTCCCTTGCGCCTGCCACATGCAACGACATCTGAACGTCCAAAAGTGTTCCGTACCCCTCATTTCTTGCACTTTTGACTTGGAAACGTGCTTCGCGCCGCAACGGCGTGCACTTTTTTGACATCTCAACTTCCAAAAGTGGTCCGAGCATGGTGTGTGTTTTGTGCATTTGACTTGGAAATGTTCTTCGCGCCACAACGGCGTGCACTTTTTCATCATCTCAACTTACAAAAGTGCTCCGAGCATGGCGTGTTTTGTACATTTTACTTCAACATGTGCTTTGTGCCACAACGGCGTGCACTTTTCAACATCTCAACTTCCAAAAGTGCTCCGAACGTGAGGTGTTTTTAGCTTTTTCACTTGCAAAGGAGCTTCGCGCCACCATGGCGTGCAACTTTTCATTTCTCATCTGACCATATGGCTCCGCACCCGCCGCTTTAGCGCGCCTACTTTTCGACCCTCCGAAGCCACAAATCATTGGAAAACATAGTGTTTCGCGACTTTATTACCTTTTCTCGCACCCGCATCTTTCTCTTCTCTGATCTTCTCTCTTCTGCTCTTCTCTTCTCTGACTCTTCCCACCTCTGCTTTTCCATCTGTCCATATATTGTCGGAAGTTTGACTTCTAAACTTCCTTCGATTAAAGCAACAAAATATAACATTTTTGGACGATTTGGGATCCACTATGTCAATACGTACTGTAGACCCAGACGCAATATTTTTGCATGTTACCTTTCTCGATGGGCGCATTGAAGTTGTAAATTGGGCCGAGACACTTCGAGAACACATTTTCCACAGATTTTCATTCTGGACGCTCGCTTTTTCCGTGCATTTGATCCCTGAAATTTTTGGGACAACTCTCACTTCAGCCCAAGAGCTGCAGCGTCTCCCTGAGGAAGGAGTGGACTTCAATGATCTTTCCAATGAGGAGATGGCGACCTCATGGGATTTTAACAAGTCGGAGTTTCACAGATGGTGAATTAGGCCATCTCAAGCCGCAAAATTGGATGATTTGGAGGTCGGAACAACCACGTCCCATATGAAGATGGACACTGGAGACCTGTAGATGTTGGGTGATTGCCGTGCCGCAGAGGAATTGGAGAAGTTATGTCAGCAGCTCGAGAACGACAGGTGCGGGTCAATCGCATGGATTTTTTTGTGCCACAAAGCACATGGACCATGGTCAAATTGGTTTCCACTTAAGATCGTTTGGTTTAGCACCAAAGAAGGGATCAACATGTATGCTTCGGAGGGCCAGACATGTTTTGCTTTAATTGGACTCATACCCATCATGCCCATAATGTCACATTTTCTTGGGGCTGATCATGAACTGAGCGAAAAATCACGACCAGAGTCGAGTACCATGGCACCTTCCTTGACCCAAAGCAACCGTGGAAGTGGACCGTGATTGGATTATTTTCACCTTTGTCGGGATGAGTCAAAATTTGGGCCCCAGGGACCCCAGGTTTAAACGGTTTGGATCATTTTTTAGTGACCATCCAATTTTGGAGTACTGGTACGTAATCTTGACCCATGTCTAGATGATTTTAATTGTGAAAATGAATGAACATGAGGGTTTTCCGGCTCTGTGGTTGATTTAGGCAGTGCACCCACTTGAGTTTGTCGCTGTCCAAGGTATACCCAAGTGTGGCTATTTCAAGTTGGAAAATGATGATGCACTGCTGGATTTTGTGGTACTTGTTTTTTTCGACAGATCTTGTAACAATCCCAACATTTTTCATGGCAAAATGCCAATGTTCATCATAAAAAACCCGTGTTTGATGGTTCGCAATTTTCGATGCTGAATCCCAGTCGTTGATGGTGAGTTTCCAGGGAGAGCCTAGAGGGGAAGCTGGCAGCGCATCAAGAGGCGTTGTGGAAGAGGAGAGTCTGGCGACTGACAGTATTGATATCCATCTATGATCATCCGGGAGTAGACCGTGGACATTCCACAGAAATCTCACTAAAACGGGAATGTTTTCATGGAAAAAACACATTCTACTTCAGGATGATTCTATATGGCTATGGATCAATGCCTTAAGTACAATTTGTTAGGGGGATCAACATCCATTTACCAGCTAATTATTCGAATAAGGAATCTTAGTTACACAATGAAGCTTCACATATATTACAACGACCTCTTGCGAAGTAGAAATACGGGGGTTTCCTAAGTCATGGGGGTACCTACAAATCATCAATTTTTTGTTGGGATTGTCCATGATATGCAGCTGCAGCTATTGGGGATCCCTCATTTATGGAAACCCCCATATGATATGAGGTACTACCATCAGATGTTGGGTACCAGCTGGGGATGGACATCAGTGAGTCAATGTTGCAGGAAGATCTTCAAAATGCAGCCAGGGAATCCATGTCATGTTCATTTTACCTATGAACTTAAAGTATATGGGAGATAAAACTGCATATTTGTATATCATATAAATATACATATATATATACCGATATCTTGCGAGCAGCTCCTACATAGCTAGGATAGATTTCAGCAATGGACAGGGCGCCTCCGAGCGAAGAGGAGAAACATCAATTCTAGTCCTGGAGATAGATGGTCAAACTGGTCAAACTGCTTAGTCTACCAACCAGGATGTGTATAAAAACTGCAATTTCGTCAGCCGATTGAGTGTGAGCGAGGTTTTCCCCTCGGTCATCTTATTTTGACGAGCTCCCAAACTTAGTGGATGTTTAGCTGCTCAAGAAGCCTGGTTTCGCACTTGATTGTTGGTGTGTGTGTGTGTGCATACATACATGGGGATTTGTGTATCTACCTATCTATCTATCTGTCTGTCTGTCTGTCTGTCTGTCTGTCTAATCCTATCCTATCCTATCCTATCCTATTCTATCCTTGGCTATGCTATGCTATATCATGTGTGTATATATATATATATCATATATACAAGACTGAAAAAAGCTAGGGCTTTCTAGCTCGACGGCAGGTCATTGAGAGCTTCAGGGTGCCAGGCTTCAGCAAAGGCTGCTGGTCATTTTTGGGATCTGAACCGATCTTCTTGGGGAATTCATAGTAACTCATAGTTCTGAACCAGTCCCATGACTGCCATCCTCTAAGTTCCAAACATGGTTTCAATTGTTAACTTTGAGGTGGAGAGTGGTTTTAAATTTTCGACTTTTGAGCTTCGAGGATGATGTTGTTTTCAATGCAACATGTGATCAGGTCCATGATTTAAAACTTCGAACATGATCAATGGGTGAAGATTGGAGAGTGCAAGATTCAATTTTCTTGTTTTGTTTTCACTTGTTTTTTTCTCAACAAAATTGATATTTTCGCCCCGCAAAGACTGAGACTTGGAGATATCTCCCCAAAATTGGAAAGCTGTTTTGCTCATCATGACCTACATTTTGGCGCGCACTTAGCGTCTTGAATTTGAGTTTCTCTGGGATGGTCGGGGGTTTTCTAGCCGACCTCACCATAAGAGAATCATTGCAGGCTTTAAGACCATTCCAGTCCCATTTACTAGCTACTTTGCCCATGAAAAGTTTGGTATGTATCCTGTGGGTGAACTGACCGTAGGTGATGTGTAGCCAGTGGCGACACCGGCCCAATGCCTTGGCCATGTAGGGGTATTTCCCAGCCATGTTGCCGAAGGGTGTCATTTTGCATAGCTTTTGGAACTTTTGGTAGTTGGATATAGCTGGAACGATCATCAATTGACTTTCGTAGATTTTTTCCGGAGTGGAAGCACTTCAAACAGCTGTTGTTGGAAGAAAATTAGTCCCTTCACCAAAGAAACATCACCACCATGGCGCAGGCTCCCGGAAACTGAGAGACCCGTTTCGGAAGACTCGAAGCTCCGAGAGCTCATTTCTCGCCGTCCGAAGTGGCTGAGTGGTTTTTTCTGTTGTTTTCTTTGACAACAATGGCAAGGTTTGGCAGGTTCACCTCCAATCCCATTGGGTCTATTTTACCGATGCAAGTCCGACCTTTCTGCCATGAATCTGTGTTTGGTGCCGTTGGTACATGTCTACATGTCCTACTCAAACAGGGGATTCTCAAATTCAAAGATCTTCATCATCACCTGGTGTGGGCGCCCCACTATGATTGGGGGCTGTTTCAGTAGGAAATGTCACGCCTGTCTCGGAGACAAAGATTTCTACGTCTTGGGCTGAAGCGAACCGGCTTGTCTTTCAAGAAGCGATGCGGTTCAAAAAGTACAGCACCGGAAGTGCACTTCCGCACAAGATCCCGCTGAGAAACCCTAGCAGTAAAACATGTACACACATCAATATGCATTGAATGCCTGGCCGCTCTTGAGGAAAAGGAACGGCACGTACGTACATCTGTATTATACAAAAACATACCACATATATAATAATATATAGATTGCTTCTTACTGTGTATTTGTTGGGGGAAAAACTTTTGATTTGGCTCTCGAGATTTTGGGCCCTTACGTTGCTGAGAGACCCCTTTGTGCCACGCTTGCGTCGAGACATGAAACCACGTCTAGAACCTGATCAGCGTGCATATGTGCCAGTCTTTAGGTGGTGGTGCTGGTGCAATTTATATCCGTGGCATCCATAATTTTTTCTTCTGTAAAATCAACATGTTTCATTTTTTAAAATCATGTTAAATATTCTAATATTACCAACTAATATCGAAGTTCCCATGTCAAATCCCCAGTTTTTTCCCTGGTGAAATCCTACAATTTTCCATGGTCAAATCACCATGTAACTTGCCGGTGAAATCTCCACTTTTTGATGGTGAGTGATATTCCATTTTTATGAGTTTTGAACATGTTCATCCCCCAAAAAGAATTGAGGGTTAAAGCATGTTAATGCCCCATTCACAGGAGATGTCCTGTGTGCTACCCTACCTCCTCCAGATGTTCGGCTTCTACGGCCTGGGGTGTGGATCTCAAGATGCTTCTGGGATGTTTCACCATAGGCCAGGGCTGCTCCAACCCTTGTGTTGCTTGTATCTGGGATGTTGGGAACAACCCTGAAAGACATGGAAAAAAAACTCGGGCTAAAAGGCAGGGGTCCTGATATCATTCCCATTTTTTTGGGTGATGGTTATGAGGAACGAATGCAAGGAAACCTTTTCATACCTTTTCCACGAGCTGTTTGGATCAAAACCTTTTTGTTTCTCTAGGTCAAGATAAAGAATACTATAGTAATCTATAGTAATTCAGAATCAAAATGATCGGTTTTTCGGTTTTTCTTTAAACATCTTTTGAACACGGCTGACGCGCTATCGCCGCTGTGATTCTTTTCTCCAAAGTCTGGGACTGAATTTCTTGGTGTCCAGCCTATATCGTTTGGGGAACATCCACAACTCCACAACTCGCTGATGGATTTACCCTCTGGTTATGTCAAAATAGCTATTGAAAATGACCATTAATAGTGGATTTTCCCATTAAAAATGGTGATGTTCAATAGCTATTTTGACATAACCAGAGGGTAAAGTGTTTGAAAGCAGCCTGGAAGACGACGTCTCCAGCTGAGGGCAATTTTCTATGTGAGTCGATGGCCTGAATGTGTGGAGACCCAGGGCACTTGCGAAGCTTGGCAGATGAGTTCCAACTTTAACTTCAGATGTGATTCAATCATATTCAATCATATTCAATATCATGGATATCATGGATATCATGGATATCATGGATATCATGGATATTATTGACCATTCGGATATCTCATGTGACTAATTATGGAACATCACATATTTGTTAGACGATCTTCCAAAAACAGCGGGTTTTCCATTGCCATATTATAGATTGCCAGAGGGTCACTCTGGCAAATCACATATATATATATATAATTATATATATATATTATTATATACGTATATATAATAATAATAATAATTAATAGTAATAATAATAACAATAATAACAATAATAATAATCATATTATATATATATACATAGATAGATATGGCGAATCGCATATATGTATATATGTATATTATATACACATAAACACAGACACACACACACACTTATATGTCTGTATCTAATGTAACGTAATGTAATGTAATGCAATGTTATGTTACGTTCAGTTACATTATGTTACAGTGTTATCTTACAATGTTCTGTTATGTATACATATACGCATACGTATATATATATATATACCTATACGTGTACGTATACTTATACGTATATGGGTATATGTGTATGCGTGTATCTGTGTATATGTGTATGTGTGTATATGTGTAATATGTGTATATGTGTACTATATATATATGTACATGTGTAAATGTGTATATGTGTATATGGTAATGTATATGTATATAAATGATATTAAAATCACGCATCTGAAAAAGTAGGCAATATATGGTCGCGAGAAAGATCCCCATGACATTCCCACATCCGCTAGGATATCCCCTATGATAGCCGCCCATTACCCGTTGAATCCCATAAATAATCATTTTTGATGGTAAAGCCGCGTTATTCTTCACCAATCAAAAGGCCGAGTTTTTTTTTTATCTAAGAACACCATTTCTTGGTTGATAAAATCCCATGATATCCCAACTTGGCTGGTGAAATCATAATACTCCGAATTATTTGTTGGTCATATCCCATCCAAAACACCCGTAGAACCCAATAAAACCATGTAAAACCATGTAAAACCATGTAAAACCATGTAAAACCATGTAAAACCATGTAAAACCATGTAAAACCATGTAAAACGTTCATTTTTGATGGTTAACTCCACCATTTTCACCAAAAAAAACAGGTCGTTGGCCTGGCTACTTTGACATCATTGGACACAGCCATCAGGCGGCCTGGATTTGGACGGAGATCGCTTTGAAAATCATGGGCTGTGGATTTTGGTGTGGATTTTGCACAGTTTCTGAGTGATCTCACATGATTTTGCTTGAGTGATTTCACATGATTTTGCACAATTTTGAAGGATTTCACATAATTTTGAGTGATTTCACATGATTTTGCATAATTTTGAAGGATTTTAACTTATTTTGCATGATTTGGAGCGGATTTTTGACCACCTCGTGTGTGTTTCGTTGGTTATTCAGTTTTTCAACAAAACAGTGCACATACAAATTGGGAAAACAAGTTTGGATATGTGTATATATATATACACAATTATATACATAATTGGGTCACTGAACCTCTCTCGAGCAGTTATGATGTGTTCAACTGTTGGGGGTTTGAATCGGATAGCATCTTGACATGAACCACGAATTGTGCAGATGACAAAACATTGGCATATAAACTCACTAAACGAGAATTCGATCCACAGGAACCGCACTGCTCAGTAGGAACACTGAGAGAACTGGCTGGTGCCGTAAGAATTTTGACATTTGACACTTGTTATGGTGTCTATATCAACCATGGCCACTGTCCCGGGGTGGTCATGTCATTCTGCGGCTGTTTCTGGGTTTGCAGCAACTCACCAGAGAAGCACAGGAACTGCACTGAACCACTAGGATTTATTATAGCAACCAGCCACAAGCCACCGGGACGTAAAACAAACACGTCAGACTTGGCCGATTTCAGATTCGGATGCGATTCCATGCATTCCATGCCTGGCCTGAAGGTAGCATGTTTACAGTTGAATCCGATTCTTGGATGAATTTTTGGCACAGGCCAGGTGTCCACGGTGTCGGAAGTCAACTTCAATGCAGACACATAGGGCAGCATTGGAATCTATAGAATATCATAGAATATCATTCTGATTATTTCAGGGCTAACAGATGAGTCCAGGGGGAATGCTAGTGATGTATCTCGAAATGGTCAAAAAGGTTGACCATCGACCTAGCATTCCCTTCATCCGTTAGGGTTTCAAAATGAATTCCATCCATACACTGGAAGCCATTTTGGTTGGTGAAATCCTCATTTTGTTTTGATCGAATCATCATTTTGGTTGGTGGAATGAGATCAGAATGCCAGTTTGAGTGGGTGACATCACCATGTTAGCTGGTCAAATGCAACATTTCGCTGGTTGAAGCATAAGATTTAGCTTGCGAAATCCACCAATCCACCTATTTTTGCTGGTGAACTCCCCATGTACCCAAGACCCCAGCCCGACCCAAGGATTCATGGCCGAGTGGCTGAAAACCAGCATCGGGCACGTTACTTGAACTGAAGGGAAGGTGAAGATTTTCAGTTGGATCACCCTTTGGTAAAGAACTGCGGAACCATTCATACACACCCATTCTATACATATATATATATATATACATATGTATATATATATATATACATATATGTATATATATACAGTATATATATATACAGTATATATATATATATTTGGATGAACATTCACAAATGAAATCCTATTCTTTTTTTGGATGTGAAGAGAAGGATACTGTAGCGCCTCAACTTTCCAGAGGTCCGACCGAAAGTTGGACAGGGAATCCAATCTCAGCTCCTTTACACAGCAGATTCTCATAAAAAAAAGTCGCCTGAATAGTGAGATAGAAGTTTCTGCTTTGTGGTTTCAATTCTTTATTTAGTACCTCTTCCATCTCCACCGGTGATGATCTGAATTCAGCTCATATTGTTGGGATTGGTCCAATTGGATCCAATTGGTTGAACTCGCCATTTTTTTTCAAGGGGAGATGCGAATGCAGTTGGTCTGCAGGTTGCATTTTGGAGCGCCATAGAGCAGACTTGAAAGGGCCGCTTGGCTTGGGATAATGCAGAGGATCCCATTTGAGAGCTCGAAAACCCAGATGTGGCTGAGTCCCATTTTCACCCAAAAAAGTCTAGAATTATAATTTAGAAAATCTACAATCTCCCCATTTTTAATGGTAAAGACCAGGGTTTCCTGTAGATTTTCCCCAAACCAATCCAGCTGGCTGAGGCTGCATCTCCTGGTGCTTCCTGAGATGGCGTTTACAGGCTACTTCTGGAAGAACAA